GTGTTCTCTGCTTCGGAACCCAAAAAGTCCTGGAAATCCGTGACGGGTGATGTGTGGTGGTGATCACAGCAGCAGTGTCCATCAGGTTATTTCCTGTAAATAGTGAACAGTACTGAGTAGAGTCTTTCACTCAGATTTCTTTTAATGTTCTTTCTGCATAATTCAATTCTTAATGTTAGTTTATAGAAGTATTTAGGTGACTGTAGGGAAGCAGAAACTCCTGTGGACAATAAGTAACTGAGTAATTTGTCTGATAATATTAGGATATAAGAGAGTGGAATCCTCCATGGAGGTAAAATATAGTATCAATCTTATAAAGACTTAGCACTGATTATCCTAGACATAAGAAAAAATTAAGGACACTAACAATTCTCTAGGCTTTTAATTTGTCTATAAAGTGTATTCCAGATCTCACTAATTAATAAGTATATTTAAACCTATAGGCAAAAAAATTTTTACGGGAATTTTTTCAGTCCTTATATATGACTATATGTGAAATTTGTATTGAGTTTACCTAGGAAGGTAGTTAATGTAGGTTTTTTTCTCTTTTCTTGTCTCAATTTTTCATGTCTTACATTCATTTTAAGAATAATAAAAGCACTTTATAAACATATTTTGTCATCTGAATTACTCCATTTCAGTGCTTAAATTTGTGCTCCTGCCCATGTTGCAATAATTACTTAATTATTATGGCGTATATCTTAAAACTCCCAAAGAACCTGTGCTGTGGTAGTCATTGCATAACCAGTGAGAATTTTCTCCCTATGAGTTGGTGCCAGAATGTCTCAGATTTAAAAATCACTGATACTGATATTCTTTTGCATCCATATATATGCTTCTTACCAGTGAGTTAGTATGGATTAATACATTTGGAATGTATGTGTCCCTTTCCAAATGATTGTTGACTTTGTATTTCACTGTTAGGGAGGTAGGCTATGAAGTCTCTGTATTTTACCTAACTAGTTCATGGTTTACAACAAATTGAGAACCAAGATTTCTCATCCAAAATTGGAAAGCTGAGGAAACCTGGGGAAGAGTTGGATACTGGAAATACCTTGGGGATGCTTTCATAGAATCAGCATGCCTAGGCATGCCCTCTGCCCACACATATGTACATACACACACACCTGATGTAGTAAGTCAGCTGAGCCCCCATATAGGTACTAGTACTTACATCAAACAAGTGTTCAAGATGTAATATAACTTAATGACTTAGGGAACCAGCTTTACATTAAGTAATGATTTGAAACTTGCACGTGCACCAAAAAAAAAAACAAAAAAAACAAAACAAAACAAAAAAACGACAAGCCACTTTGCTTGAGCGGGCTTAATTAAGCTTTGCTTATCAATATAGATTTACTTTTTATAACTAGAATATAAGCTCCATGTAGGGAGGGGATTTTGTTATGATTGCTCACTACAGTCTACCCCACATCTAGGAGATGCCTGGCAAAATAGTAGAAGTGTAGTAAATATTACTTGTTGAATGAGTGTATATGTAAATAATACTGGTTGATAAACATAAGGATTTGTTAGACATGATATATTGATTGTGCTGGTAGGGGTAAAAAAAATAACCATTACCTTTAGGCAAGAGTTAATTGAGTAAAATTTTGAATTTTATGGCCCTGTACATTCATAGCCATAAAAACAGGACCTTTGAAGAAAGTCATGTAAAAAAAGAAGAGTCCTATGATTTGTATATTTTGGCACAAAGTCATCTTGTTGTGGCGCATGGGACCTAAAACCCATCCCGGACAAGGTCTGTGCCTTTGGGGTTGCCTCCACCTGAGAGGAGGGAGAACTAGCTTCTGTTTGTTAGACATGTTTGTTTATTAGTATTTCATATAATTAGCAGCTAGATTTAGGTCTGCCATCCTTTTTTTTATTTGTCCCTTCTGTTTTTTGTTCCTTCTATCCTGTCCTTTGAAATTATTTAAATATTTTTTTAAATTCCATTTTAATTTATCTATAGAATTTTTTACATTACTTTTTTAGTCATTGCTCTAGGAAACACAATATGTATCCTTAACTTCCCACAAGTGTCTTAGAGTTGATATTATCATCACTTCACAAAAAATTTAGAAACTTTAGATCATGTAGGCCTATTTTACCTTGTCCTCCTATATGCTATATATCATGTATACTCCCATCTACATACACTGTAACCCCTCAAGATATTGATTTTTGCTTTAAAGAGACCACCATATTTTTTCTTAACTTTATTTCTTTATTTGACAGAGAGAGATCACAGGTAGGCAGAGAGGCAGGCAGAGAGGGGCGGGGAAGCAGGCTCCAGCTGAGCAGAGAGCCCGATGTGGGGCTTGATCCCAGGAGCCTGGGATCATGACCTGAGCTGAAGGCAGAGGCTTAACCCACTGAGCCACCCAGGTGCCCATATTTTAAGTGACCACCATATTTTAAGTGAAGGAAAAAGTAGCCTTTTATGCTTCCTGAGAAAGTTACCGTTTCTTCATTCATTTTTCAAGTCTCCCAACTGGTATCTTTTACCTACAGCCTGAGAACTCTTGCATTTCTTGTAGTACAGGTCTGCTGGTGATACATTCTCTTACTTTCTCTTAGTTTTCTTTTGTTTCTTTTAATTAGTAAATGTCTATTTTCATTCTTAAAATTTATTTTTGCTGGAATTGTAGGGTAACAAGTTTTTTATCTTTCAGCACTTTTAAGATTGTTTGTCTTCTGGTCTCCCTAGTTTCTGATGAGAAGTCAGCAGTAATTTTGAATGGTTATTTCCTTGTATGTAATGCATTTTTGCCCCTCTTGCTGCTCTCAGCATTTTCTGTTTATCTTTGATTTTCAGCAGTTTGACTATTGACCATTATCTACGACCATGTCCATAGGGGTGGTTTTCTTTGTATTTGTTCTACCTAGGATTCCCTGAGCTTCATGAATCTGTAAATTTATGCACTTTGCCAAATATGGGAGAAATTCCCTATTTTTTGAAATTTTTTTTATTCCATTTTTCCTCTCTTTCCTTCTTGGACTTCAATTACACAGGTATTATGTCCTTTGATACTGTCCCACATGTCCCTGATATTGTTCATTAAATTTTTTTTGTCTCTCTGTTTTTAGATTGGTTAATTTCTTTTGATTTTACTTCACATTCATTGACTTTTTTTTATCTCCATTTTGCTTTAAGTTTTTAACCAGTGAATTTTTTGCTTAATGTATTTTTCAGTTTTAGAAATTCATTTTGGGTTCTATTTTCTTTTTGTTTTCTTTTGCTTTGTTTTTGCTAAACTTTCTTATTTTTATTCCTTGCAAGCATGTTTTCCTTTGCACTTTTGAATAAGCTTTAAAAACCTTGTATGCCAATTCCAACATCTGGGTCATGTCAGTGTTGGTCTTTGTCTTTTTTTCTTAAGCTTAGACCACAGTTTTCTGATAAGTTATTTTTAATTGTATCCTGGGCATTGTTATTGTTACGTTAAGACTATGGATTCTGTTATATTCCTCTGAGGAGGAGTGACTTTTTAGGTAATTAACTTGGTTAGTCTTAAATTGTAAGTTCTCTTAGGTGGCTGTTCATATCACAATTCACTTCTTTGATCCTTAGTAATACTCTGTTTTGCACATGTGTTGGTTTAGAGGTGGTCAGAGATTTGGGTACCTTGGGCTCCTCTCCTCTGGCTGTTTCCCTGATGTGCATGCCCTAGGGGCATGTTAGTCTGACTGCAGCTACAAATACAGAAGTAGTAATGTGCTTTAGATTGCAATTATCTTTTATAGATTATTTGTAAATAATCTCATATATATTGTTTGTAAGAACTTTGATGCCATGCCAACCGCAGTAATAGAAATTTTTCTTAACCTAATCATTTGTGTACTTCCCTATCTGCATTAAATGATGGTCGCTCTATGTCACTTTATAGTGTCAAGATTATTTGTGTAGGTGAGCTAGTGGAAAAAAAATTTAATTGAGTATCTTTAGGCTAAGTTTCTAGTTATAGGTTCACCACTAACTGGTAGTATAGCTTAGGACATTGCAAGGACTTACCCGACCTTCAGTATTTTTGTCTTTAAAAAGGAATTGAACTGGGTGATCTATGATCCTTTCTGGCATTCAAATACAAACATTTTCCTAGTTGTATTCAGTTATTTTGGTACTAGGGACAGTTCTTTCTGATATTCTCTACCTCTTTTAATTCTCTTATTTTCTTCTATCTCATTTGATTTTTGTGATTTCATTGCAGTACACAAAACCATAAACCACTTAGATATGCAATTACAATTAAATACTCAAATGGTAGTTCTCTGTTAACATAAGTAGCAATTCAGCATTTTTTAAAAATTCCTAAAATATAATTAACAGATGGGTACTGAAAAAATGTTTGTTTTAGCATTTAATGTTGATGACTAGGTTTATTCTGAGCCAAATAACTTAGTTCTCACACCTGCATGACTAAAGTCATGTGCCTTTGATAGATTACGTTAAAATTTAATTATTTTAATTTAACACCTTGTATTTTTCTCAGCATATTTATTTTTGAGTGATCGTTATAAGAATATTGGATAATTCATTCTTAGTTTATATAAAAACATGGGATATTTTATACTCAGTTCGTATAGATTTTATCTTATATAATTATTCTGTTCACTTATTTTTTATAATATCACAGTACTATTTTATAATGTGGGTTTAGGTGTCCCTCATGAAAGCAATTTGAATAAAGTTATCTGACATCAGTAATTAAATTAATTTTTGTTCCTCTCAGTCATTAGACTAAAATACCTTATGGTGCTTAATAAGTCCTTATTATTTGCTCTCTTATGCAGAGTCTTTTCTGTGATTGTGTTCTTTATACATTGGTATGTGAAACTGTTTAAGGAATTTTTGAATTTTTATTTAATTATTGATTATATATCTGTGCCTACTAATTAAGAAAAATGGTCAAATGTTCATTGTGTGTAAATAATAAGCTGTTATGTCAGATACATTTTATCACTGTTAACAAAGCCTTCTTTGGTATACCTTTCAGGTGACATTTGCAGACAAAAAAAGTTAAACTGTCAAGGAATTCATACCATTTTCTACCTGTTACTTGGAACAACTTAAGGAGTCTTTGATTTATCAGATCAGTTGGCAACAGAAAATGAAGAGTAGCGTGGCACAGATAAAAGTAAGTGTTTGAAATTTATAATGAAGAACATAAACTTGTATCTGTCCCTTAATCAAAAAATGCATTTATAGAATTAGGACATTAGAACCAGACAGTAGAAAGGCATCATACACATATCTAACTTACACAATTTCAAGTGTAGCCACATGGTCACATAGAAGCAGTAGTGTGCAAGAGGGCAAGTGAGAGAACGTGTAAGATGTATGATGTGTGTGTATCCATGTACATGTATGCATGTATGTCTATCATTGCCTCCACAAATCAAAAAAGTGCATGTGAGTGAGCACCTGCCAAAGAATAATTAACAGGGCAGGGAATTCCACCATTCTTCTTAAAGATTATACTTCCCTGAATGAGCATGAAATGGAAGACAGGCATCTCCTTCCTTAGTTAATCATAGTTCCTGCATGTCTATCTACGGGGGAGACTCTTATTGCATTTCTGGTGCATAAACAAGCTCTTTATTCTGTGCTCTCCGTTAGACATTATACACTCATTTATTCAACAAATATTCACTGAATTCTTATGTCCTAGTGACTGTTCTAAGCACTTTACATAAAATGGTGAACAAAACAGAAATCCGTGTTCTCATGGAGTTTGTGTTCTAGTGTGGGAAGACAGAAAATAAATTATAAACTTAATCCATAAGTAAATGGTGTAGGATAGTGGTATTAAGAGCTAAACTTATGCTACAGACAAAAGATATGGGGTAATGTTGATCATTAGCATTGGGGGTTGCAATTTTGGATAGGGAGGGCCCACTGAATAGGTAGCCATTTGAGCAGACTCTTGAAGGATATGAGGAAGTTAGCCATGCAAATAACTGGGAAAAGAGTATGCCAAGCAGGTGGAACAGCAAGTATAAAGACAAAGAGTCTAGTGTGGCCGAGGCAGGTTATAAGAAAGGGAGAATAGTAGATGCAGTCAGAGCAGTAACAGGAGCCGATAACTCTGTCTACTCAGAGCTGTTCCTCTGCCTGTCAGTGGACTTAGCAGGAGAGCAAACCATTCCACTTCTATTCAACTGCACAGATCTACAAGCAGACGCATCATGCCTTGGATCTTGGAATCAGTAAAGGGGAAGGTATATTTTTATTTAATTACAGATCTAGGCCCTGCTCCCTTCCTCTCTCCTCCACCAGTTCTGCACCCCTAAACCACCTTCTTTAAAGAGAAACAGTAAATTGAGCTTAGCAGGGGACACTAGGAACTAGCCCTGGTGCCTGGTAAGTGTTTAATAAACAGAATTGATAGACTTACAGACTGGGGCAGGCTCTGCCGCCATCTTTGCTAAATTCTGTAGGGTATAAGGCTTGGTAGACACCCAGCCCATGCTTGCAGATCTCTTTTGGTGGGAGTTCACTATCTCAAGCTAGACCCATCTGTCAGTAGATACTTTCATATATTGTTCTGAAATCTGCCTCTTTGGGGCTTGTACTCATTGTCCAATGGCACTTAAGCAGTTAATTAATTGTGGACCTAGTAGCTGGTAGACTGTGCTGAAAGTTGGCAACATAAAGAAAGCGGAGAACTGGTGTGGAACTGGCTCTTGATTGAGCCATGTTAGACGAGAGCACTCAGATTTAGCCGGATACCTTTTCCACAGAGGGAGATGTGTCTAGTCTTTTCAGAATCCTCTTCCTGCTCCTCTTACACTGTGCTTTCTCCACCTTTACCTCCTGTGGTCCTGGTGGGTCCTCGATGGCACCGTCCCATCCTAGGAGTGGGTATCTTCTTCAGTCAGCATGCCCTCCAAGCTTAGTGGCTCAGCTCTGTCTACCAGTTTGTAGCCTAGTCTGCCTCCTTTTCTCTATCCTGTTAGCCACAAACAAGTCTGCTAACTGGGTGGGGCCCATTTTTACCTCAGGTAAACCTCACATCTTCCCCTCAGTGTTCTCAGGACTCATTTGCTGGGTTCAGGAGGGTTCAGCTGAGGATCTTTGTTTTTCCACTGATCCTTAGCTATCAAGAACCAAGTTTTCTACTTGTTTCAGCCCTTCCTCTCCTTGCTATTAAAGACTGGTTCCTGAGCCTAGTGGTTGCTCAGAGATCTGTACTCAGGCTCCCTGCTCCACTCACCTTTTCATACTGCTGTCTTTATATTGTTAGAGATTATAGGGAACCACATGGTATAAACATTTGTTTTGCTTAATGAACAATTGGAGAATTTTTTAAGGTAATTTTGACAATATATTATTTTCAGTGCCTACTCTGATTTATAATCTGGACACTATGATTAAGAAAAGAGGAAAATTCAAGTTATTATTTGAATCTCATCTCAAAATGATATTTTACATAGTGAAATCCTGTTCAACTACCAAAACCTAGTTCGAATCCCCCTCTACCCACTGTCATTCCTCAGTATTCAGTTATTGTTCCCTACTCAGGATGTCCTGTTAGCACTTCTCTGTGTGCCAGTCACGTTAACTTAATCGTATTTACAAAATCCTGATTCACGACTTCATTATTTTTGGTTTCCCCCCTTGCTTACAACAGATGTTGCGGAGATGTGTTAAAAATCATTAGCACAGAACTGAGGCCTTCTCCCTAATGTAATCAAAATAATTGCTGTGCCTTGTAAAAGAAAAAGTAGACTGTAGTTTTGTTCTCTGTCTCTCTCCCTTCCCCCTCTCCTTCCCCTCTTCCTTCTCGTCCTCCTCCTCTTTTTCTTTTCTCTGTTGCTCTCTCAGGAACATATAATCTGATACGTTTAATTGTGGAAATCTTTATAGCCATCTTTCCACTGTAAGATCATAAATTCCTTTGAGGGTTTTTCCTAACTTGTATCCTCCAGAGTGTCTACACAGGACAGGCTGTGTTTTATAGAAAACTATATCATACATGTTGAACAATTTTACCTCATTTTGTTGCTAAGTGAAGTAATTTTTAAAACTTTGTTATATACATGAGAAACAGGATTTTAAGATGGTTGCATTCAGTATAAAATAGCATCCAAACTATGGCTATCGTAAATTACAAATTTTGATCACATACTTATTACTCACCTAAATAGATTAGTCTAGTTTGTATATACTATTAGAAAAATTCAATAGTTGATGAGACTGTTTGGCAGTTTACTTGTGATAATGTTAGACTCAAACTGCTGTTAATTAGTCATAAAATAAGAGAAAGTTGGAGCTTGTTTATATTTCTGTGCAGTATAATTTTCTATCCTTAAACGTTCTTTTTCCCATTAAGGAGGCAAGCATCTAAATGTGCAGAACAAGTTGTTCATTATTTTATTTCCTTTTTCTTAGCTTTTAAGGTAAAGCTACTTTTAAAAATCATACTGTTTTTCCTTTCTTATAGTTCAGGTTAGTTAAAATGGTTTTAATCCTTAAAAAAAAAACTGGACAATATGAATGTTCATCAGTGATGTAAAAATTTTACCTATTTACAGAGTTAAATATTTTGCTTTTTAACTGTTTTTGGATTTTTAAATTAGGATTTGTTCTCCAACTGGATAGTTTATATCTCTGTCTGTGTGACATTTCTCTTCAGTTTCATGTTATAGTGGAGTTATTTATTTGTATGTCTTGCTATTTTTCAAAGGACTTGGCATAGGATCTCTCTCTCACAAATCGTGTTTTTCAAATCTGTAGAATCTAACATAGTGCCATATAGGTCAGACATTTGAACAGTGTTTCCTGAAAGTAAAAATGAATTTTCATAAATAGAGTTGGTTTCTAGAACTAAAGTGTTTTTTTTAATTTATTTTTTAATTTTTTATAAACATATAATGTATTATTAGCCCCAGGGGTAAAGGTCTGTGAATCGCCTGGTTTACACACTTCACAGCATTCACCATAGCACATACCCTCCCCAATGTCCATAACCCCAACACCCTCTCCCTACCCCCCACCAGCCCCCCTCAGTTTGTTTTGTGAGATTAAGAGTCTCTTATGGTTTGTCTCCCTCCTAATCCCCTCTTGTTCTAAAGTGGTTTTTATAAGCCAAAGTAGATTCAGGGAGATAAGTGCAGTATTATAAGACTTTGATATAACCACAAGAGTGAACTCTTCTTGCTAGAAGACCTCTGGCCCTTAGTCATGTTTTTCACCAAGAAAAAACTTTGGTCTTGTTTTTCACCAAAAGGCGTTTATAAAAGTGATGTTCTGTATATTTAAAACAATATAAAGGAATAAAATATCAACTAAGTGGCATTGAAAATTTGAGAATTATTTTCTTCTACTTTGAATTTTTTTTTTATTAAAAAAAGTATGTGGTCCATAGTGAAAACATTATCTGCCACAGATACCCACCTTGGAGGGCCTAAAAATTTTGTTTTGTCTTACATTCTGTTTACATGAATTATTCTTATGATTAAAAAAAAGTTTTGAAAAAATTTGTAAAGCACTACCAATTTTCTGAGATGCATATTTCATTTTCTGCGTTTTTTTAACATAATTTTTAAAAATAACCCCTCCCCCTCATTCTTTTCCTTTGAAAGCATTCTTCTGGTCATGACAGAAGGGAAAATTATAATTCCTATCAGAGAACCTCTTCTCCAGAAGACAGGTAAATAATTTTATGTGCTCCTGCAATTTAAATTTTTTGTAATAAGTTTTAAAAAATTATTTATCTCTTAGGTTCTTCATTTTAGGGTGAACAGTTTCTTTTAGATGGTTTTGCAGTATTACTTGAATAAGCTTGAGGACAAATCATTTTTGAATGGCTGTTCTAGGAGTTTCTAGTAGATACTTCTAGATTTTATCTAATTTTGGAGGTGAGAGAGAATAATTTCAGCATGCCCAATACTCCATAAAAGTTTTATAAAATGAAATGAATCCTGAATGAAACACTGAATGGAAGTTTATAAAATGGAAAACTGAGTTGAAATCACCTTACTTTGAAGTGCTGCTTTTATTGTTACTACTATCCTTTACATAGCTCTTTATAGATTTCAGAGTACTTTTATGTATATATCATATCTTATAATTGTATTAAGATGAAAGATCTAGAAATATTACTGTTAATGTTCATCAGGCATTCATAGTAGTACTTCAGTTATTTCACTTAGTGAGCTATGATCATTAAATAATTTTAAATTTTAATAAATGATCCTTAAGTTTAATTTTTAATCAAATTTAAATTAAATTTAAATTTTAAATTTTAATAAATCATTAAAATAATTTATGATGGTAGAAGCATCCTCTAAACTTCCTTCCAGTGGTTTTCATCTCTTCCTTACCACATACATACTTTCTTCTTATTTCACTCCGTTGTTTCTAAAAACTTTTGTTTCATGGACATTGAATTAATTGTCATGGTTTGCAAGTGCTTAGTACCTTTCATCAATCACCTACTTTCTATCTTTAAAAGAAAAAAAACACCTTTCTACATGCACAGAAAAACATGTATATCTCTATGTTATATAAATGACTTATAGATGTATACAGTTGACCCTTGAACAGCACTAATGCCCCCCTGCCCAGTTGAAAATCTGCCTCTGTAACTTTTAACTCCCCAAAAAACATAGCTACTAATATCCTGCTGTTGGTAACATAAACAGTCAACTAATATTTTGTATATGTTACATATATTATATACTCTATTCTTACCGTGAAGTAAGCTAGAGAAAAGAAAATGTTATTAATAAAATCATATGGAAGAGAAAAATACATTTGTAATACTGTGCTGTATTAGGAAAAATTCAGTACCCACACAATTCAAACCCGCAACTGTTCAAAAGGTTAGCTGTATATAAAATATGAATTACTATATTTATTACTATGTATATTTATTATGTGTATATGTATTTAACTTCTCTTAAGGTTCTCTGACTTTATTGATATTTAAAGTTCAAATGGCAGATCTTATACTGTCATCCTTGTTTGCTAATAATTTAAATCCTTTCTCACTGCTATTCAGTAAAACGGGTTCAAGAATAATAGCCAGTGTTTTTTGGATATCTCTTGGAATGAGTTAAACTGGTCTTCATCAAGGCCAGCCAATGACATTGATGTCATTTGTTCATTGCTTTGATAAAGCATTTGCGGGGTGGGCTTTTTTCATGCCAACTGTATATGAAATCCAGATATACATCTTTTACTTTAGACAGTGTGAATCAGGATGACAGGTTTGTTTATGTGAACTCCAGTAGTTGTTTTGTACACAAGCTGAAAGCTTTTATAATCAAGACTAAATGAATGATGTCAACAAAAGAGAAGTTGAGAAGTTCGGTAAGATGTTGTTCAGTCATAGAGTTGCTTCAGCATTATCAATATATGATTTTCATAGGTATCTATAACATAGCTTTCATCTTATAACTTTGGTTTTCTTATTTTATGTGTTAGATATGCAGAACAAGAAAGATCCCCTCGGGATAGAGATCACTTTGATTACAACAGGTCAGACTATGAGCATTCAAGAAGAGGGCGTTCTTATGATAGTAGCATGGAGTCACGGTTAGTATTGGAAATTTTAACTACAGAAAAATCATATTTGTTTAAATTTTCTTTATGCTTCTTAAAAAACCGTAAAAGTAGCAGCTAGCATTAAATGGATGTTCTTAAGGACCACGCTTTCTAATAAGGACTTCATGCAAATTAACTCCTTATTGCAGTAAGTATATGAAGTAGTTATTATTGTGTGTTTTATGGATGAAGAAACTGAGGCAGAGAGAATTTAAGTCATTTGTTTGTGTTTTAGAAGCATGTCAGTGGAAAGTCCTGGTCTGACATTGAGCCTAAGCTCTTATTCATTATATGGGACTGTATTGTATGAGGAGTTAGCAGTGTGAGTTTTTTAGATTCCTTACTGAATGAAAGTCATTTACATCATATGACATAGAGTGATCAAAATATACTTTCCTACATGATGGCACTGGGACAGTGAGAATGACGTTACCAGTCTAATTTTTATCTAAATAGAACTTATTCTTTCTTGAGCCTTGGAGAATTTGGCTACCCACCCTGTTAGTCATCCAGTTTCAAAAACTTGTCTACCAAATGTTATTGTTCACGAAGGTCTGTATCCTTTTGATGTCTCCCTCATATTACCCATTCCATGACTATTAAAACTATACTCCCCACTAAATTTTTGATGAAACTCCTTTGCAGTTTGGAGCTAATCACATTATTTGCTATCTGCAACCTAAATTTCCTTCTCACCACTTTAATATATACCTAAAAGTAAAATGTCAGATTAAATTAGCCTCCAAAAGCCAAACTCGTCTGCTGTCACCTTAATGACCCCTCGGGAGAACCAGCTACCATAATTGGTGAGCTAAGCATCTTGCATTCTTTCTCAAATACTGTTAAGACTCTTACAAACTAGATATTATTTTTCACAATTTCTCAGGGGAAAAAAAAAAGTGAAGTGGGTTTAAAGTGATTATGTAACTTACCTGAGTTTGCAGTTGCCTACTTGGTAGATAATGAAAGTGGGATTTGAACTCAATTTTGACTCCCAAAACCCATTTTTTCTTCCATAATCTCTGACTGTATTACTTCATTGTAACTGTGTTTGGTCCAGTGCATGTACATAAGTCTCATTTGATTCATACACTCACACTGTGAATCAAGCAGACTGTGTATTATGTAGAAAATAAAAGCTAACAGTATGAAAGCATTGGAAGAGAAATTTAGACTTGAAGAAGACTCTGTCATCTCTGCACTCGACAGGAACAAACAGTGAAATTGTAAAGATGCAATTTTATCATCCAGTTAGCTGTCTTACCTAGTGTTTCTTAGAAGAATGATAACCAATGCCAGTAAATCCCTGCTGTAGTTACTCTCTTGAAGCCTTCTACACTCACAATAAGAAGCAACTCAGTTACAAATCAGTGCCTAGATTGCAGTGCACCTGCCTTTGTAACTAACTGGGATATCTGTTTGGAACTACTTTTTTCCCCCTTCTGTTCACTCTGTCTTCCCGTATACAGTGGTATACTTCAGGTTCAAAACAAGTCCTCTGAATCTACCTGGCTAGGTGACTCCTTCTCTCTTTCTTTGTAAGTTGTATTACTATATATTAAGACAGACTATCTCAATTACAGACCCCCCAGATCTAGCTAAAATCTATCGAGTGGGTTCCTGGTAATAATGATAAATGACACTTGTTTTTATTTACTGTATTCATTTAACTAATGGTTGCACAAAGCATGAGCAGAATGATCTAAGTTTCCAAAGCAGTATAGGTTAAAAAAAAAAAAACAAAAAACACCTAAGTGGACAGACTCTTCCCTCAGAAATGATAGCAAAAAAATAAGAATTTACTCTTCCTGTTAGTTCTTGATAGTTTCAGAGAATAATAACTTTGATTTTTAAAAAAATGTTACCTTAAGAAAGGATACTCACCTACAATAGTCAGGAAGAGTTACAGCAGGAAAATAGTTATTTTTTTCCCATCTCAAATAACCAGATGTTTCTGATATTCTGAGGTTTTAAATGCCAGTTCTATCAAAAAGTAATTTCAAATGTTACAGTTTTTTAGGACATTTTTTATTCCTGGCTTGCCATTATTAGAAGTATGCTCTGGTTTCTTCTTTATACAGTTTATTATGTACATCATGGTCTAAACTGTCTTGTTAAAACATTGTTTCCATGTCACTCTCGTACTCAGAAACTATTAATGAGTCTCCATTGACTATTATAAAAAGCTTAAAGTCTGTTTCTTGTCTTAAAATTTCATACCTTGACTCAAACTCATCTTGCCAACTACCATTATACATGATTCTTTATTGTTTTCTGACAGTACTACTTAATAACTTGAACATCCTACTCCCTTTTCCAGTAGTTATTCTGTTCACTAGTTGCAGAATGCCCTCCTTCCTCCACCTTCCCACTCTTGCCCCAGTATAAAGTCTGTCAAGCCTTGAAGCCCTAGTTTAAGTTACATTTTTTCTATGAAGCACTTCCTCACCATTCCAAACCACTTGCCCTTGTCTGAATTTGTGGCCTGCAAATGGTCTTGCTCATTTGGTATGCAGCTCATTTAAATATGTAATTTAGAGGGCGCTTCGGTAGCTCAGTGGTTTAAGCCTCTGCCTTTAGCTCAGGTCTTGATCCCAGGGTCCTGGGATCAAGCCCCACATCAGGCTCCCTGCTCAGCAGAGAGCCTGCTTCTCCCTCTCCCTCTGCCTGCTGCTCTGCCTACTTATGCTATCAAATAAATAAAAACCTTTGAAAAAATGTAATGTATGTAATTTATATTATCTTTTCTCCATTAAAAAAATTTTAATATTACAGAAGTAGGGACCGAGAAAAACGCAGAGAAAGAGAAAGAGATATGGATCGTAAAAGGTCTTGGAAATCCCCAACTCCTGGGAGAAGAAGCCCAGAACCATCAGTAACCCAGAGTTCCTCTGCTCAGGATGAACCTACTGCAAAGAAGAAGAAAGATGAGCTGGATCCTCTTCTTACTCGCACGGGTGGAGCATATATTCCTCCTGCAAAGCTCAGGATGATGCAAGAGCAAATTACAGATAAAAACAGGCATGTCAATATCACTGAGTTTTAAAGTAATGATACCCTCACTGAAAAAAAGTCAACCATGGTCTAATCAACATGGGCTATTGAGAGTTCACATTATTAATCCACAGTGGTAGAGACCTCAAATTAGGTTTTTCTTCTTTACTCCATAAGCTCCCTTGGAGCTCTGCTTACTATTTGCCCTGACATTAGCTCAGCTTCTTTAAATGAGTGTGGCTCTGTTTCTATGAAGCTTTCTTTACACAAATGGGCTGTAGGCTGCATTTGAGTCATGGATGTAGTTTGCCAACCCCTATACTAATCTATGAAATGAAGTTGACCATGAAATGAAGTTGAATCTTCTCTACTCCATAGTCTTCTTAGACCATACCATTTCAGACTAATTTTTTGCTAAGGCAAACAATCAAAATTCATTTATGAACATTCACCCTCAAAACACCTTCACTTCCTTTTCAAAATGATTGAGATGAGAGGAGCTATACATGAAAGTATAGCTAAGTTTTCAGGACCTCTTTCTTCAGCGGCATGAAAGAGGATAATTACGGAAAATGTGGTCCAGGATTGAAATGGTCACTCAGTTGCCAGTTAGGTAACAAAAAGATTGGGACAAAGGGTAGCTACACTTTGAGAAAAATAGATTTCGAAGTGAGCCAAGAAAGAGTATTCCCACATCTTTCATAGATATTTTAATGGCAACTTGAAAGTACTTGAGACCCTTACATAAATGAAATCTAAATTTACTTCATGAATTAGTTTGAAGTAGAAATGTCATGTATAAAGTATAAATATTTGAAATAAAATTTTTAAAATTTATGAGCTAGAAAGGGACATTAGATGACATTAAATTTAAAACTAATTAGTAAGTTTCTTTGTATGTGTCATATTCCAGTACATGGTAATAATGACTGCAGTGTTATGTTTAGAAGGAATTTGGAGATGGCTTCTGTGGTTAGCAGGAGCTTCGTGAGCATGTAGGCCTTCTGCTCTCTGCTCTTAGGAGGCGGCAATGGTGGTAGCTTTAGTGAGTCATTGTCTCCAATCCAGCCCAAAGCAATCCTAATTATAAAAGACCAGAAACATTGTTATTAAGCCATGTCTTTCTTATTTCCTTATAAATAAAGTGGGTGGAGATGAGTCCCCAGTACACGTAATTTTACACTGATTCCTAGAAGATAATTTCATACAGTTTAAGTCTGCTCATAGCTATAAAGGGGACAAGGTGAAGTAGAAGTCTCTTAAGAGAAGTCTATAGACTTTACTTTTAGTAGATAGTAAGTCAGGAGAATTGTAGGCTTCTTAATTAGGAAGTGCAGTTGTACTTGATTATAGTTTTTGTTTGTTTGACCAAAGTTATAATAGGAGAGATTGTGATTATATATCAGCAGTCTTACTCATTAGGCTAGTTTTTAAGCCATTGATCTTGTTTCTCAAATAGTAGCATACCAAGGGGTTAGGGTTGGGGGCCCCTGGAAGTGTTGCACCCACCTCAAATGCAGGCTTTTAGGAAGTACATGATCTATAAGGAATTTAAAAACGATATAATTAACTGCAGATCAGTCTGCATTTTATCCTCACTGTCTGCTGAGGACAATGTCAGTGATAAAGTACTCTTCCCCCCAGGGTAGACTGCTCTCACCACCTCTCCCTTAGTATACCACTCCAGAACAGGGATCCTTAACCTACAGACCTTCAAGAGGCGCAAAGGTAGAATTTGGCAACACATAAATATAAATGGAAAGAAAAAAATTGCATCTTTATTTTTACTTTCCTCTAACTAAAATTTAGCATTTCTTTCTATCAGGAATAATATAGGCAGTAGGTAGCATTAACAAGAGTATTTGCTGCAAATATATGAAAATATTGCTTATATCCATGGTACTTGGAAATTAAAGAAGTTATTAGTTCTACCACCACTTCTTGTAATTTAATGTGTTAAGAACCACATAGAATTCTGTATCAAACTTTTTTCTTTTCATGCTCTGAAAACTATTTAAATATGATTGATATCCTTTGTAATTCTATATATTTATATATATTACTCCAAAAAAGTCCTTCAGCTTCACGAGACTACCAGAGAAGTATAAGGAAGATGAGGAAGATAAGACGCTCTACAGCTGAAACCATATTCCACGGGGAAATAAATATAAAAACCATAGAATTACAGAGCTTTAAAAGACCTTAGGTGTTACCAAGTTAAACCTAAACAAATCTAGTTAGGCTAAATTATTTGCCTAAGGTCTGAGTTAAAAAACAAGCAATACAGATGTGGGACTACTGCCTAAATGCGGACATGTTCTTTAAAATACAACAGTCCTTCCGCCCTATGATTTCATGTGACTCCCTTTTCCTGTATTTATTGCCATTTCTTTACAGTTTAAAATATTTAATCTTGTTTTCCTTATCATGCTTTTATAAAAAAGGACAAGATAAAAATCTCCTTTTAAGGCTTATACTTGGATACTTCATATTATAATTTAAAATTTTTTAAAGTTGTCATTTTAAAATTAAATTTAAAGACAATTTTAGCTGAAGTATTATAATGTAAAATAAGTATGTATTGAATCTAATAAATGAATGTTATAATTTCCAATATACATGGATGTAAAAACAAAACATTATATATCCTTATATAATTTTATTATGTTATTAAAGAGAAATGATCTGTAGTTGAGCATATATACAGAACATCAAATATAGGTTTAGATATTCCTATAGTCATTTATTTTACTGCACTTTGAGGTCATTTTGTGAAAATAATGTTAAAAAACAAAGGAAGCCTAAGTACTTTTTATGTTCTTATTATAATCTCTGGTTACTGTAATTGTTGACTAAGTTTTCATGTTTATTAAAATCAATTCTTTTTAGCTTGGCATACCAGAGGATGAGCTGGGAGGCCCTAAAGAAGTCAATCAATGGTCTTATCAACAAAGTTAACATCTCTAATATAGGTATTATTATTCAAGAACTTCTTCAAGAAAACATAGTTAGGGGAAGGTAAGCATCAGCTATTTTATTTAAGTATTTCATAGCAGTTTTTCAAAGGAACAGAATACCTACATGGACAATAATTGTTGATTTATTGTGCTACTTCAGTAGTAGTCGAGAGTAATTATATAAAAAGCAGTTCTTATAAAAATGTACGGCCACTAACAAATAACTTGTACTTTACCATTAGAAATTGTGCAGTTTTTGCTTTTGAAAAGGTCTAATGTCACATAATGATTTTTGTGTAGACATTTGTTTACTGAATACTTCCAATAATTTAAACTCATAAGGAATAATGAACATTTTATTTATATATGTATATATAATTTTAATTTCTAATGAAAAGTGGGAAGGTGTAAGAAAATCAGTGATCAATGTTAGAAAAGCCGAAGGGAATGACAGTCATTTTTTGTGTAGTTTTAATTGGTTGTGATTTTAAAAGGATCAGGAAATAAAAATATGTCATATTTTTTTTTATTTTGAAATCTGAAGGATATTTTCCTGTGTCATTTCACATGACTCTGATTTATCATTTCCAAAACATTGGTGAGGGAGCAAGTAAAGTAAGATGTAACATGTTGTGGGGATATAGAAAGTTGACCAAGAGGCAGCTTGTCCTCAAAGGTAGGTAGGTAGAGTGCTCCCATTTTAGTCAATAAGCAGCAGAGGCTATATGGGTTGCTTAAGATCTCACAATTTATATAAGCTGGGTTTTCTTTTCTCATTTTCTAGTCTGTTGATTCAGTTGTCAAAGTTAAACCTGATAACTATTAAGATAAACTGTTTTCCTGCCTTTTGGCAGTCCAGTAATTATTTGTCATTACATTGCTAGAAATAACTTTGCATCTCTCCCTTTATCAAATGCATATAGAACCATGGTCATTTCAAAATGAGTTAGAAGTGGAACCTTGTTGACTTTTTTTTCTTTTATAAACAGAGGCCTGCTGTCCAGATCTGTTTTGCAAGCGCAGAGTGCTTCTCCAATCTTCACCCATGTTTATGCAGCGTTAGTGGCAATTATCAACTCAAAATTTCCACAGATTGGGGAATTAATCCTTAAGAGGTTAATTCTTAATTTCCGAAAAGGCTATCGAAGAAATGATAAGGTATATATGATGGGCATGTTAAGTCGACAGCTACATAGGGACAGACTAATAATCCAGTATCAACAGTGATAAGCAATGTTGATTGTTACTTAGGAATTCTTTTTAAAAACTGCGTTTCATGAGAATATTTTTTTTGTTCCATTAAATATCTCTGGCTGCTAACAGTGAGCCACAGAAATGATAGCTATAACTGTAGGATTATAATTATTTAGCCAGAAATGACACTATTTCACATTTAATAGTTTTTGTCTTGTAACTTTCTTACATCATAAAAATTATCCTGTGTGCTATGTATTTTAAATAAAGTATGTAATAAATAAGCTATAGATTTAGTAGTTAAATGAAAATTGGTTTTAGTTTATAGTTTAAATTGTCTCTGCCTTCACTTTTCAGCAACTTTGTCTTACCGCTTCAAAATTTGTGGCACATCTTATTAACCAAAATGTGGTAAGTAATTCTCAAAATTTGGTACCATGCAGTGGCATTAGACATCACATGCTTGATGCCACTTCACTGACACATCTCTATCTTTATTTTGCCTTGTGGTCTTTCAGAAGAGAATCTTAGATGATATTTTAGTTTTAAAACTGTAATAAATGTGTTTAATATTCTTAAATAGAAAAAGGAACTCAGAACAAATATTTTATCAAATTGATCTGACTCTTAATATTGTACGTGGTTATTCAGCTACAAATTATTCCTTCAAAGAATGTAATTTAATCATATTTATAAGACAATAAAGTTAATATTTCCTCCACTCTTTTCTACCGTACCTATTGTTGAGAATGTAATACTGATATTCTATAAAAAAATCTTTTCTCTGCAGCAACTAGTATATAGTCATATATTCTTAGAATCAGTTTATAGAGGCACCTGGGTGGCTCAGTTAAACGTCTGCATTCGGTTCAGGTCATGATTTCAGGGTCCTGGAATCAAGTCTTGCATCAGGCTCCCTGCTTAGCAGGGAGCCTGCTTCTCCCTCTCTGTCTCTCCACTGCTTTCTCTCACTCTCACTCTCTGTCTCAAATAAGTAAATAAAATCAAAAAAAGAGAAAAAAAGAATCAGTTTATAAAATGTAAATGAAATAATTTTAATCTGTTTTAATTGCAAGTAATTTTCTCTTTATGTTCAGGTTTTGTGTTTATTTTGTATTCATTCATTCACCTATTTGATGGTTTTTTTTTTTATTTGAGAGTTTTGAATTAGCTTCTATTTAAACTAATGAAAAATAGGATTTCTCTTATTCATACTCAAAGGTTTCCTTCAGATGTATATTATGTTTAATTATATATAAGAGGAAGAATTTTGAAGTCATATTTAATCTTAATTTATTTACCATTATTTTCATTCTTTCCAAATGAAATTCCCATGTTCATTCTTAAAAACCCATTAGATTTTAACATAATGAGTTAAGTTATTATAATGATAACTTGTTTCTTAAGACCATGGGGACTTAATTTCACATACCTATGTGAAAGCACAGAAAGTAAGTTTTGGTTTTTGAATGTGTATTCATTTATATTGAAAATATTTTTGGCATTGCCACAAAACTGTTAAAATGTTAATTATGTTAGGTCTTTCAGCTGTGGTACAGGGCAATATTTTCTTATCACTGATACAAGACTAAGACTGTTAGACCTCCACACCATACTACAAAATAAAAGCAATATATATTTTAGATGTTGTGCTCAATGGAAAGAGTATCTTCCTAAGTTAAGACTTAGACTGTTTACTCCCCCATCTCAAAAAAGTATCTGACCTTAGGAAGGCATATGTACTGGTGGCTTGAAAATGCTTCCTAGTACATTTCCTTTTCACAGCAAAGCTGCTCAATAGAATTTTATTCCCATCCTACCTGGCATTGTTTTTAAGTATTAAATTTTTAGCATAGTCACTGTCAATAACTTGATTTAGTTTAAAAAAAAAAAAAAGAGGGAAGTATTTTAAAACCTTCCTTGAGTCCCAGATATTTTCTGATAAAATTGTTCATGTAATTTAAGAACTATTTTCTGTATAACAGAATTGCTGATAGAATGAACTAGGAAATAGATATAAAGAGTTGTGGTTGTGAAGAACGGCATTAGAAAAAGTGTAGCATAATTTTTAACTTCTATTTTGAAACTAATTATGGCATTTCCTGTAGATATTTTATTGTTTCCTTTATATAATATATAAGAATTATTTCTTCTGGAGATAAATCAAGTAGTTGTATTTAATGTAATCAGTTTAGATTTTTGGAACAATCATCTGGAAATTTTTAACAGACATAATAAGAGTGAAAGAAAAATTGTATCCCATATTTGGAGTATTTCTGTATGCATTCTAAAACTTTGCTCATCATATGTATAATATTATTGCTGTAAAAACCAGATTTGCCAATTTTTTTAATTACTATCAATAGTAGGTTAATATATGTAAAAGCATTTTCTCAATTCCATATGTCTTCATTCTATTTAAGGCACATGAAGTTTTATGCCTAGAGATGCTCACTTTGCTCCTAGAAAGACCAACAGATGATAGTGTTGAAGTAGCTATTGGTTTTCTCAAGGAATGTGGCCTCAAATTAACACAAGTGTCACCAAGAGGAATCAATGGTAAGTATATTACCTTGGTTTGATATTGAGCTTTTGTTTGAGTATTATAATATCTTTTGCTTATTTTATTGCTTTTTTCTTTCATTTTAACTTTAGCTATATTTGAGCGCCTCCGAAACATTCTCCATGAGTCTGAAATTGACAAAAGAGTTCAATATATGATTGAAGTGATGTTTGCTGTACGGAAGGATGGATTCAAGGACCACCCAGTTATCCTAGAAGGCCTTGACTTAGTGGAAGAAGATGATCAGTTTACCCATATGCTCCCTTTGGAAGATGACTATAATCCAGAAGATGTTCTTAGTGAGTTAGAGTTGGGGAGGGGCAGGCTACAGGGTGAGTTGGGAAGTGGGGCACCAACAAATGTAAATAGAGAAAATAAATAATTTTTAATTTTTTTTAAGATGTTTTCAAGATGGATCCTAATTTTATGGAGAATGAAGAGAAATACAAAGCTATTAAGAAAGGTATGTAGAATTTTATAATCTATTTTGGATAAGTAGAAGCAATTCATGTAGATATGTAATACTGGTAGGAAAGCTTAAATCACTGACCTAATGAAATCTCTGCTATTATGATGCCATTCTCTTCAGTTTTTCCATACATTATTTTTCTTTTCATTATTGTTTCTCGTTTGTGGTATTACTTCATTCTCAGTTGTTTACCTCATTGTCCCTGTCCTCTTTCCCTCTATTTAAATTGTACAACGCTTAAGTCTCATTCCTTTTAAGAAATGTCTATATTGGGGTGCCTGCGTGGCTGGCTCGATTGAGCTTCTGACTCAGTTTTGGCTCAGGTCATGATCTCAGGGTCCTGAGATTGAGCCCTGTGGCACACTCCGTGTTCAGCGGGGAGTCTGGTTGAGATTTTCTCGCTCTCCTGCCCCTCTATCTGTTCATGCTCTCGCGCTCTCTTTCTAAGATAGATAAATAAAATAAATGAATGAATAAATCTAAAATATATAAATAGATCTTTAAAAAAAAAAGAAATGTTCATATATTACTAGTAGCCCTTATTTGAACTTCACGACCACTTAAGAATTGGTGCTTAAATTGATGTCTGATATAATATTCAACTAGATGCTATACTTTTATTATAAAGTGCTATACTTCATTATTTCTTGAGAGCAGATTGATGTCCTGATAAAATCAGTCATAATTCCAGATAGGCTATCAGTGCTCAATAAATTAGTGAATTGATTATTATTATCATTTGTACATCATCAGTATATTACAAGCACTAACTTTGGATAGATTTTGGTTTGTATTTTGTCTGTGCCATTACTAGATAAGTGACCTGGTACAAATTATTTGTTTGATATAAAGTTACTTGTTTGTTTAAGGATAAATAAAATATAGTGCTTTGTATTATCATAGAGCAAGGATTTAGGCAATGCTTTTTTTATTTTTGGACATTTGTATTTCCCTTGAGTTGTGATTTTATGTGAGAAGCACTTACTGTTCTGAAAGCTCAGGAAGACAGTAGGAGGCCTAGAGCTCTGTCATTTCCTGCATTCTGGCTTTAGTCCAGACTTGGAAGTAAAATGAAGTAGAAAGTAAGGTGTAAGCAGCTTTCCATTTCTATACATTATTCTAAAAATCTGGTACAATAAGTAGATTGCTCTCCTTAGGTGCCAATTTCCTAGGGGCATTTCACTGCATTAGCCAGATTCCTTTTGCTATTACAATTTAGTTTCTAAACATGGAGAATTCCTTAGACCCATTTTGCCTTCTTATGAACTTCTTTTTCTACAGTATCACTCAAAGATTCTAAATGGTTTTATGGAATTTTTATCATACCTAGTAGGATTTTTTTTTTTTAACTTGGAAATTCCACATCCATTTGTTTAGGATATCTGTGGTTGAGCAATGCCAGGAAAGTAGTACTTTTCTTTATTGTAGCACTTAAACTCTTTGAACTTAAGTTCCCTTTATACTCTTGAAAATTATTTAGGACCCCAAAGAGCTTTTGTTTGTGTGGGTTACATCTGTCGACACTTACTTTATTAGAAATTAAAACTGAGAATATTAAAATCATTTCAAAGTAAGAGTAATAAACAGTGTTATACATTACATACTTTTAAGAAAATAACTACTTGATGAAACAAATTTAAGAAAAATGCCATGTTTTATATATTTTATACAGTTTAATGTCTGACTTAATAGGAAATGGATTTTCATATTGTTGGTGATTTCAATCTCTTGCAATAGGTTGTTTTTATTGAAGTATATGAAGAAAATTGAGCTTCATAGATAATATGTATTTGGAAAAGAGAGAAGCATTTTAATAACCTTTTCAGATAGTGTGTATATTCTTCCTTAATACTGTGCCAGTATTTAAAAGCTAATTGTTTCTTCAAGACTAATTGCAATGTGAAACCTGAAACAATATTCATGAATTTTCATACTCTATTACCTTAAAATCCATTGGCCTGTCACTTTGAGTGGATCTTTTACCCATGTATGATTTTGCAGCATGTTCCATTGGTCATTTAGAAAATACCCATTCATCAGTTATGCATATCTTCTAAGTGTTAATGTGTTAACATTATCAAAATTAAATTAACACATTAACACAGTATCAAGAAATCACATTTATTAGTATTCCCACCTACCTCATCAGAGAAGTCTAAGTATTGGGAAACTATCAAGCTCACAGGAATGGATCCAAGTTCTCCAAAATTCTAATTTTCTCTTGAGAACTCCTATTTTGTAATGGTAGTAAGTACTGTTAATTATTTTCCTTGAAGTGACAATCTCACTTTGTTTATATTTGAGAAAATGTCTGCCAAATGCCTAACAATTCTAGTTTGCCAGCCATTCTTTCAAGTAAAAATGGAAAACTTCACTAATTGACCTTACAAGTCAAAGAGTCACACAAGTGCTTTTCTTTGAGGAAACCATCACCATTGTGCATCTGTCTTTAACAGAAAGGCTGTGTATGAATTCATGTTTTGCTACTCAGATTATTTGTGTTTACCCTTCAGAACTGAGATTCAGTGAAATTAGTGGTTTTCTACTTCCTCCTCGAGGGCATCCTCAGGTCAAACTGGCTCTTTTCCCGCCTCCAACAGCATGGCAGTAAAGAGCACAGTGACGGCTGGTGCAGTCTGGTGCCTTGATTTGTGCTCAGATTGCAGCAGTTTCAACTCCCATTGCTTTCAGACCCTTGTAGATGGCAGCACAGAGAAAAGGCAGATAATGTCTGGGTGTTGTTAGGAAAATAGTTGTGACCTCACAGACCACCTGACAGGTCTAACCAATCCCCCAGGGACTCACAGACCATACCTTGAAAGTGCTGCTTCATTCAGTTAGTGAAACCCAGTTGTCATTGACTAAGTGATTTCAGTAAGTAGATTCTTAAGTGGAGAGATGAGAGGATGATGTAAATGACTAGACAATTCATTTGACCTTCATTCTTTCATAAAATGTTCTTCTAGAACTGGCATAAAAAAATGGCCACAGCAGGAAGTGGGCACAGCTTTAGTAATTAGCACCTTAGCGTGACCCAGGTGCATTTGTGTTTTAGGTTTTACAGCATTTGGGAAGACAGCAGGAGTGCCTGTCTTCCTACTATTGAATACTAAATAGTTTCCTCTTTTGTCTGAGCCACATTATGTAATAGGAAACTAGACACTTCAGATTATTTCTTGAGGTCACATTTGGTAGAGATATTCCTGGGATTTGTGTGTCAGCTAAGGGCTGACTGACAGCTCTTTGTTTCAATAAAATGATTTATTTTTCATGGTATGATGTTTTCTGATAGCATTAAATATTATATGTGGCTGCTGATTTATAATGCTCAGTTAAATATAAGAAATTAGAATTTCCCTAAAAGTAAGTTTACCCGAAAACTTTATCTTAGAAACTCCGATTTTAAAAGAAATGCAGAAGTGAAGTGTTAGCCGGGTTTGTAAAATCTTTATCAGATCAACAGAGTACACACCATTGGGCAAAATATAACTTTAGTTTTTTTCATTTGTTAATTATTAATGTGATGACTAGCCTTAGGTAGTTTCTTATTTACATCACTGTTTTCATCCAGTTCTAGACGTAAGCTGGATTTTAAGAAGTGATTTTCCAGTGAAGTGCTCATCTTACCAATTTTTTTTTAAGGCTTTTAGACTTCTGTTTCTGATATGGACAGTTGTAAGATTAATTATAATATTCTATTTAATAGGTACACATTAGAATAAAAATCTCATTACTGTTTAAACACTAAATTATGCAATTATTTTTTCTCCCTTCTTTGTCTTTCATAGCCTAAATTCTTGTTTTCTATATCTACTTTAGCTTTGTATAATAGACATCTCCTTTCTGATGCTGAACTAATAATATTTTGACTCCAATGTACTAGTTTCCAATCTTGTTTTTCCGGTGCTCTTGCTCTTTTGGAAAACTTCATCTACTTTTTTTTGTTCTTGTTCTTCTCTTCCTGCCCTTATTTTATGACCATTTTCTGCTTGGCAGAAGAATGATACAGATGGCTCTCTGACCACCTAAACAATAACACAGGCCCATGTGCTCACTTTGTTGGGTGATAAACTGTAGCCACTGTGGATTTTGGTGAACTGAGAATTATCTTCTCAGAATGAGATTCACGTGTATCACTTGCTCATTAATATTTTCCCATACTTTGTTCTGATAGAAATTCTTGATGAGGGAGATAGTGACTCAAACACAGACCAAGATGCTGGAAGTAGTGAAGAGGAAGAGGAAGAAGAGGATGAAGAGGGAGAAGAAGATGAAGAAGGTAAAAGTATAGCTCATTCAAGTAATATTGTAAAATACTCTGAAATTAAATTAATTCTAAAGCAGTTCTCTAAAATAGTGGTTCCCAATCTCTGGAGGGCTGGGGGCTGCTCCTGGCTTCTAGTAGGTGAAGGCTAGGGATGCTGTTCAACATCCTACAAATCACAAGACTGCCTTCACCACAACAGAGTGTTCTTTAGCCCAGAATGTCTGTATTGCTCAGGTTGAAAAACCCTGCTCTAAAAGTATTAAACAAGGAAATCATTTTGTAATATCAGCATAATTTTAAGTTGACATTTTATGCCTTTGAGTATAAACTGTGAAAAAGATGCATTCGTGTTGAGTGCATGTGATTCTGTAGCCCAGACATGAATGTGACTGATGAAAGTGGCCAAGTATTTATTTGCTGTTCATTTTGGCAGATAGAGTGGGGAGGCCAAAAGCTGTGTCTGCACAAAGCAGGCATGATGTTCTTCTTCAGCTTCGATTGCTTTATTTCACAGAAAAATAAGCTCAGAACTTTATTTTGGTTAAGTCTTAGTTAAAACATCAGAACATACATAAGACTGGCCATTATTTACTTAAATTGCGTATTTGAAAATATTAAAAGTATGTCTTTCCCTTTTAGGACAAAACATATTTTAGTTCTGTCCTAAAATGTAATTATTCTTCTACAACATATTTTATAAAAATAAATTCAGTTTTTTTCTGGTGTCTTTCTTACATAAAACATTTCCTGTGTACTATATTTAGCTTTAGAATTTCTTTACGTGAAAATACTGTTCAAATAAGAAATACTAAATATAGAAGTTGTCATGCATTAGATAAGAGAAGATTTTGACAAATACACATATTTATATTGGACCCATCTAGTCTGTCACGATGATCCAGTTTTTTCTGAGACTAAATTTCTAACCATAATTTACAGTTCTTCCAAATTATCAAGCTACTGTTTATAATTCTGGAAATAATATTTTGCCAAACAACAGCATGAGTGCTACCTTTTATGTCTAAATGAGCAAACGACACAGAAACAAAAATAATATTTCTGGCTTGATTTTGGACTTCTTTGAACTGACAAAAGTTATTAAAATACTTTAAGATACAGCAGAAGACTAGAAATGGCTACTTTGAGCTCACAAATACTATTTTACACTGTAGAAAATAGCATTACTGTTAAACTCATAGATTCTAAATACTTATGAAAAATTAGGGGCGCCTCGGTGGCTCAGTGGGTTATGTGGGTTAAGCCTCTGCCTTCAGCTCAGGTCATGATCCCAGGATCCTGGGATCGAGCCCCGCATTGGACTCTGCTCAGCAGGGAGCCTGCTTCCCCCTCTCTCTCTGCCTGCCTCTCTGCCTACTTGTGATCTCTCTCTGTGTGTCAAATAAATAAATAAAATCTTTAAAAATAAATAAAGTCTTTATTAAAAAAAAAAAGGAAAGAAAGATTATTATCTGGAGATACATTTTCAGTCCTTCACATTTATTTTTGTAGTTTCATAATTTTGTTATGTTTAATTTCTTTCAGGACAGAAAGTGACTATTCATGACAAAACAGAAATTAATCTAGTCTCATTTCGTCGTACAATTTATCTTGCTATTCAGTCAAGGTAAGATACTGTAGCTCAGTTGATCTTTATTTTTGAAAGAGGATGGACAAGAAGATGGGATTTTTTACAATCTGGTGACAGAAAACTAGATGGCACTTTAGGGATTCTCAGACTACCTGCCCAACTTCATAGATCCCTGCTGTTGATTCTTTGTTTCAAGAGAAAATTATCTTTATTTGTTTGGAAGGTCTAATTGTGTCACAGAATTTAACTTTTTTTCTTTTTTTTTAAACTGTGTCGTTCCTTATAGTTAAATATCACTAATAAAAACCTGAAGACAGCTTGGTGTTACAGAGCTGGCACAGTATGTAATTGTAGTGGAAATTTATTATTTTTTATTTGGTTTCTAATTCTGATTCTAAGCAGAGAAGCACTGTTATGATAACTTTTGGACACTGATTTTTTTGTGTGTGCAGATGGAAATGAATATATATGGAAATAGGAATTAGGAAGGTTTTGAGGACCCTTTGAAGTAATGTTAAGTAAGAACTACTGCGATGTCGGGGCGCCTGGGTGGCTCAGCGGGTTAAAGCCTCTGCCTTCGGCTCAGGTCATGATCCCAGGGTCCTGGGATCGAGCCCCACATCAGGCTCTCTGCTCAGCAGGGAGCCTGCTTCCCTTCCTCTCTCTGCCTGCCTCTCTGCCTGCCTGTGATCTCTGTCTGTCAAATAAATAAATAAAATCTTTAAAATCTTTAAAAAAAAAAAAAAAAAAGAACTACTGCGATGTCATGTGAATATCTTATTCCCTTTGAAGGCTATGAGTTTGGTTTGGAAGAGAAATAAATGAAATATTAAATGCTTAGTACATCTGTTATTTTTTATGCAAATCAGCCTATTGATTTAATGGCACAGTGTTTACATTTTGCACCGGAGGAGGAATGTTTTCTCAGTTTTGTTTTCTTACTAGGTTTTGTATATTTCCATTTAGTATGATGTAATAGCAAAAATGATTCATACGTAGGAGTCATCCTGTTTTTATTCTGTCTGAAAACTTTTTGGCTTAGATTCATCTTCAGAAAGAGAAATGTTACAAAGCAAAACATTGGCTAGAAATACTTTTGGTTTATCCTTACCTATTTCTTTGCCTTTTGCATGGAAGAAAAATCCATTAACTATGTTTTCATACAAACTTAAAGTGGAAAATGAGAATTTTTTGTTATAGGTAAAAATTCTTACAATTTGACCTTTCATTTATCCTTTTTTAGAAATTCAACAGTAATCTGTTGTAAACAGCAGATTCACTGTTTTAATATTGGTGTTCACATTAACTTTGAAGAGTTACAGTAGAGCTGTTTGGATAATTACTTAAAGGAAACTGGTTTTTTTTAGTTTACCAAACCTTAATAGTCCTTGAACCACAGAAAATATTTTAAAAATGAAAGCATTAGACAGGTGACAGTCGGAATTACGAGTGGTATCAACTCTAGTAATGGCAATACCATTTCATGTGTTGGTATTTGTTAAGCGTTTTGAGCCCCTAAATGTCTGGTAAAAATAACATATATATGACAAAGTTTACTATACTTAAAATCTCATACATATTTTAGAAAGAACCACAAAGACTTTGGTAGACCAGACGTTTAAAGGACATGGTCGAGGGATTCATGTAATGGGATCCTGAATCATAAAGTTACTAAACAAATATCAATCTAGACTAAGAAGTGCTATTATTGGTCGTTAAAACAGCTAAAGTGATTTACTGTGTGTTTTTTTTTCTTCAAAGCAACAGCACTGACTTTAGGGAGATACAGGTAGACCTTGGTGGGAATTTAAATTGATACGCTCTTTATGGAAAGCCTTTTAGTAACATGAATCAGGACCTTAATGTTGATGCCATTTGACCATTTTTTGAAATTGACAGAGAATTATATAGAGTTGTTCAGTACAAAAAAGAAAAAGACCATCTTGTCCAATACAAATAATCAAATGTCTAGTTTATGCCACTAGTGAAAGTTAGGCTAATGGGGAATTGTTATTGGTATGGGCAAGTGGTCTGATTTAATGTGAAATGGGGCAAAAACGGCATAGATTATATAGTACTGTACCAGTAGTATTTTTTTATTAATTTTTTTTATTTTTTTATAAACATATAATCCAGTAGTATTAAGTGTTTAGATAGGTAGACAGATTCTAGAAGTGATACATTAACATATCAACCATGGTTGCCTTGAGAAGAGATTGGGTTTTTTGTGTCTGTGTTTTCCAATTTTTTTGGTATTTTTCAAAAGTCTTATGTTTACAATACACCAGTCTCTACCAAATATAATATAAATCAAGAATGAAATATAATCATCTAGTCAGATGGCAGTGAGGGCATTTTATACAGTTTGCTTTTGGAAATCTTGCAGACAGAACTAAGGTCTGACAACTGAATTGTGTGGTGATTTTATTTTTTTAATTTCTTTCCTTTTATATTTGTTGACTGATCTCATCAGTACTCTTAACTTCTTACTATCCTGGCTCTTTAATGACCCTCTCTCATTTACATAAAACATAAAATGGTACAGTTGGTTTTGTTGTTGAAAAGTAAACATTCCTGTTTGTTCTTGTTTTCAAATGTTGCTCCACTCTGATTTTTCATTATTGAAGCTCTAGCATCAGAGGGAGGTGGGTCTATCATTTTCCCACCAAAGTTTCTTAGATGGAAACATCATTAAAACCATTTTGTAAACACAGCTGGAAAACTAGCATCACGTAAAATCATTTTTCTTTACTCTTCCCCTCAGTCACTTTTTATTTGTATTAAACCTGAAATTTATTTGACTTAGCAACATAAGATAACTGTAATATCAAGCAAATTTAATTCATTTAATATTTACATTTAGTACAACTTCAAAACAGTCTCATGTAAGGTGTTACCAGATACTTCTCAAATAAAACAAGAACAAGGAAAATAGACTGTTAAACAGCTAACTCACTGGTACTTATTAGATAAACAAAATTGTAAAGTATTTTTCTTAATTAATTGACTCATTTTTCAGAAATTGCAGGGTTTTTTCCTGCATATTAATTCTGTTTTTAAATCAAAACTATGAAAGAAAGTGTCACATCTTTCAAAATACTTTTTGGTAATATTGTTGTATTGTTGAAGTTTATCAACTACAGTTTAATATTTTAATCTTAGTGCCAGATATTGTTTAATATTACCTGTTGCAGAAGTGCTTTCTGATATATTTCTTTATTCATTTTAGGTTTTGTTTTTTTTTTTAATTCCATTACATTGTACCATCCTGGGTTATTACTCTGTTATGCTTACAGAAACTCAGTATCAGAAGCTGAGGAATTAGATGAACCATAAAACTAAATTTATAGTCATTCTATTTCAGTGACTATTTATTTTATACTGCTGATATCCAAAGAATGAAGATTTGAATATTCTACACAAAGTACAAATACATTAGCATTATTCATGTATTGAGCTCACATTAAATTTGGTAATTCTCTTAAGTATATTGGAAATATTTTTAATGAAACTTAATGAATGTTGTATAAAAGCAAATTTTTTTCCTTGTAAGTGATTTTGATTATTTACTATTTTTATACTTAGTTTTTGAAAATGTAGAAGCACTGTGGTTGGGTATGAATCAAGATAACTTGTAAATGTGGTAATTAAGTACTAGATGTCAGGCTGGGCTCTGAAACATCTTTTCCCTCTTCCTGTCTTGGGTCAGAGATAAGTGGAAATATTTAGCAACATCATAAAAATCTGTCTACTTTCTGTCTATATATTTGCCCATTCTGGACATATTATATAAATGGAATCATACTTTATGTGGCCTTTTATATCTGACTTTTTCACTTCACGTAAATCAGAGTTCATCCATGTTGTAGTACGTCTCAGTACTTCATTCTTTGTAGAATTAAGAGCTATGTCTTTTCTACATACAGGACACAGTACTGTGAAGTTACAGTTAAAAAGTTATTTTAAACAATTGTTGAAGTAAGATCCTTGTTTATGAAAGAGCAAGTTTTTAACCTAACTGTTGTGACCACTTTGTCTCTACAGTTTAGATTTTGAAGAATGTGCACACAAATTGCTTAAAATGGAGTTCCCTGAAAGCCAAACAGTAAGTCACAATAATATTGTTTATAAAAATGTTTAAGACAGTTAATATAGGTTTTATGAATTGAAATAATAACTCAGTATTGAATATTCATTTTTTAATGTAGATATTCTAAAATTTTTAAATAACTTAAAAATTAGTTCTGGGGTGCTTCATAAATGCTCCTCATTGCAGTGAATTAAATTGGCTGCTTAAACGGGATGTAGGAAAAGGAGGAAGTCTCTGATCCATTGAACTTCACAGAAAATTTTGAGTGGTTGCCTGTAAATCAAATGGTAGCTTAAAATACAATAGGAAATTTGTTCCTTAATGAATTGCCTACTCTATCTACTTACTGCACTAAAGCATCTTTTGTGGTAGAAATTATAATGATCACCATACATGTTGTTATATCACTTAAATTGGATATAGAAGACTCATTTTTTTCATTCATTAATGCAACAAAATGTATTCAGCGTATACTACATGTCAGACTCTCTACAGGATACCAGGGATTCAATAATCCAGTATATGTTAGCCCCCCCGCCCCTTAGTCCATGGGACTCATAATCTTACAACTTAGTGTATACTTCACTGTTGAAAGTATCATAGAACCCTAATGCCAAAAATGATAAAGACTGGATTGAGTAGATTATCTTGGGTGTTTTTTCTAATTGCATTCTTAGTTAGATTGTTCCCTGCCCATCTCCATTGAGCCAAGGCTTTGGGGGTTTTGTTTTTCACACCCTGGTTTACACATGGTAGACCCAGCAGAGATGCTAGAGTGAATATATCAACTCTAGGCTGTTTCTATTTCTAAAAGATCTTGACTATCTGAGCTGTTACCGTTAGGTGTAAGTGCTTTGTCTTAAGGTTCTGAATATGATCTGTTACGGGGATTGGCAGACGGTGGCCCAGGCCCACTATCCATTTTTGTAAACAAAATTTTATTGGAATACAGCCATGCCCGTTGATTGGTATATTGTGTATAGTTGTTTTCACCTTATGGCAACAGAATTGACTGGTTGCAACAGGCACTTTATGGCCTCTAAAGCCTGAAGTATTTACTATCTGGCCTTTGAAAAAGTTTACCAATCTTTTTCTAGATTATAAATTTCTTCTTGAAATGCCATGATATGTAATTCTGAGAAGAAATTATTCTTTTCAAATTTAAAAAGTTCTTTTTTCCCCCTCTTAAAGTTTGTTTATTAGTATATTAGTAACAGTGTACCTATTTGTACCCAGGGTGCACTTGATTTGTTCACTTTTGAAAGGAAATAATTAGTGAATTAACCTTTAAAATTATAATTGAAACTGAAATTACTATATGATCTTGTCACATTATTAGAGGAGTATAATTAAGTCATTTTAAGTTTTATTAATATTAATTCAGAGGGTAGTTGTTCTAGAACTAACCTCAACATATTTTGATAGCATTTGGAAGAATGTCTTAGTGCATCTATTTTCATTCACTCAAAAGGCTCTCCTAAAATTGCTGTAATATTTAATTAAAATGTTAAAATATTTGATTATGATAAGCCACAGGGAATAACTCTTATAATTGCATTTAGTCTAGGGAAGAAAGTAATTTGTTTTGCAAGTAGCACTGGCTTATTTAGCAATGCTATGAGCATATTACCATGTTATATTGTTTAAAACCCGATTAACTGTTATGTTATTGTAAAATACAATGTTAGTAGAAAGAGTTGAAAATGCATTTTAATATATCAAATTAACGTAATGTGGCAGAATTCAGAAAACCTCCTTTTAACTTTTTAGTACTATATTAAATTTTGACATAGTACATCTTTTCAGAACTTACGCATTAATAAGCATTTTGTTTAATTGAGGTGAGTTATGATTAATCATAAAAAAATAATAATTTAGTAATGTAATGACATCTGAAAACAACTTCAAATTGTGAATTAAGGCCTTTTAAGTAGATTGCTTTATAAGTAGATTATCAACTTCCAGAATAGCGCTATCCAATAGAACTTTTGCAATGATGAAAATGTTTGTGTTCTACACTGTCTAGTATGGTAGCCACTGGTCACATGTGGTTTTTGAGTACTGGAAATGTGGCTAGGGTGACAAAAGAACGAAAATTTTAATTTTATATAATGGTATTTAATTAATTAGCTAGGGGCTAGCATGCTAGACAGCACAGTTCTAGAGTATCTGTTCTGTGCTTCTTTAGGACCCTTTTCCTCCTTCTTGCACATGGATATATGCAGTAAATATAGATAGACCTAAGTTTTAAAAATAGTTACAGTAGGGTGCCTGGGTGGCTTAGATGGTTAAGTGTCTGCCTTCCGCTCAGGTCATGATCCCAGCATCCTGGGATTGAGCCCCACATTGAGCTCCTGGCTCAGTAGGGAATCTGCTCCTCCCTCTCCCTCTGCCTCTCCCCTGCTCATGCTGTCTCTCTCTATATCTCTGTCTCAAATAAATAAAAGAAAAGAAAATATATTTACATATTTACTTAGGTTGCGTCTCACATTGTTAAATATGACAAAATGTCAAAATTGCTAATTGAAAATACTAAGGTGAAATTAAATAGAAGTAAAAATGAACTGCAAGGGTATATATTATATTTCCTATAATAAACATATTATTATATTTATATTTTCCATTTATAGAACACAAATACATTGCAGTTACTATGTTTGGAAAAAGAATAATTTTTAACTTTTGGTAAATGTTTTGTAGAAAAATATATACTTAGTCAATTCTACAGCAGTGGTCAAAGAATGAATTTAGGCCTTTTTAAATTTTGTCTCCATTGATCTGTCCATGTTGTCTGAGTTTCTTTGTCTATGAAATTGATATAATCAATACATACTTCATTACAATATTTTAAAATTATAAATCATTTGTGATGATGGTATTTCTGGTCCTGGATTAACTCTTGCATTTATTAGCTCAACAGAATTTTTGCACAGGAGTTGTCAAGGCACAAAAATAGCTGATTAGACAGTGTATTACTCCAGTAGTTATGGAATGATTTAATCTATTCGTATAGATTTATCAATAGATCTATATGTGTAGCATTTATTTTGAGGCTAGAAAATCCAGCCACAGAGGTGTTTATTTCCTTTGTTCTTTTAAAAAGACCTTTTATTAACCAGAGTATCATTTAAGTTAATGTTGTAACTATGCTTATTTATGCTTCTATGAAGACTCATGTTCTACCTTTTCCATACTAATTAAATATATTCCTTAATAATTGAGTTTAAAGGTATATAACTGAATTATTAGGTGGCATATTGATCTGTATTTTTAAAGATTTTGTGTAGACTCTTTTTAGAATATAGTCTATTCAGTAGTCTCTTCATGGTATATCTGTTTCATATAGTAGATATTCTTGAGTGGTTCATACTTAATATAAATTTAGAATTTTATAATCAATCTAATTAGCATGGATGACTATGGAAACTGTCAGCCAGGCTAAAGGCTTTGAAAAACTATACAGGTATGACATAGATTGAATTTCTTAATTTTGTCCTAATAACTTTAGCTCACAAAGCTTTGGAAGTTTTGTGTATTTAAACCCTTATTTAAAATTTCAAACTGTCTCTATCATATTGATAAATTATCATACAGCATGGATTCATTGTTTTGTGAATCACTAATGCAATTTTTTTTCCAAATAGAAAGAACTCTGCAACATGATACTTGACTGTTGTGCCCAACAAAGGACATATGAGAAATTTTTTGGCTTATTAGCTGGGGTGAGTTACAGCCTCATTTTTCTTGTTGGAATTTAGTAGAATCGCTAGGGGAATCCATAACATGAATATTGTGAATTAAGGTGTCTGCTTTGTGGTCTTGTCTAATATAAGAGCAAGTCTTTGCTAAGAGCTTGTTGCTCTTCCCTCCCTCAGGTTTACCATCCTCCGTAGTTTCCTCCTTTCCTATTTCATTTTGCAGTGCCTTATTAACATTGCTTATGACTCTTCCAGAACTTTTTGAAATTCTATATGCTTTGTAACAGTTTCCCAAAGAGGACAATTAAATGTTGCCTTTTCAAAATCTCAAAGCATTTTCTGAAGTCAAATACATATTCAGGCAACACAAATAGAGCATGAGCTAAAATAAGTTTTTAAATCTAAACTGTACCCACAGAGAAATATATTTGCATAGTATATAAATGTATGTGTCTATGATAAGCTACTTATATAATTTTGCTTTAGTGTATAAATCCCAGGTAAATAGGGATGATATATATTACCTTCTTTTTTTTTTTTTTTTTTTTTTTATAGAGAGAGATCACAAGTAGTCAGAGAGGCAGACAGAGAGAAAGGGGGGAAGCAGGCTCCCTGCTGAGCAGAGAGCCCCATGCGGGGCTCGATCCCAGGACCCTGAGATCATGACCTGAGCCGAAGGCAGTGGCTTAACCCACTGAGCCACCCAGGCGCCCCTATTACCTTCTTTTTTAAGCATTCCATCATATAGCACAAAAAGATTGAGTGATATGATATACAAAATATTTACTGATTTTTGATTCAGTAAATTTAGAAGGATCTAATATGCTCATAATGGTATTGAGAGTCAGTGTTTAGTGATACTGACCTTCAGTTTTTTTATTTATTAGCGATTTTGCATGCTAAAAAAAGAATACATGGAATCCTTTGAAAGTATATTCAAAGAACAATATGATACCATCCATCGCTTGGAAACAAACAAATTGAGAAATGTTGCCAAGATGTTTGCTCACCTTTTGTACACTGATTCACTTCCATGGAGTGTAAGTAGATGAACTGATATTTATTCTTCCTTCCTTATCCCATTATTCTCGAATAGGTATTAAGTATAATATAACCATGGTTTTCCTATGTAGGAAATGTACTTTAAAATGATATGTATAGCAAACTTTTATTGTAATGGCTATCTTTGAGGTTATATTCATACAACGTGGGATTGAGAAGTTAGGTAAATAATGTGAGTGTAAGAAACACCACCTGTGATGATTTTAACAGCCCTTTTTAATAGTGCTTTTTCATAGTGATGGCTAATGGTCCTTTCAGGGGAAAATAGAGATTTTCCTCTTCTCTGTGTGTGCACACGTGCATATATACTCATACCCACGTACATGAATAGCTTTGTGGTCCATGCATCATATAGTCAGTTCTTTAGAACAAGATAAGATATCCTTGATACACAAATGAATACTGGATTGGAATTTAAAATGCATTCGTGATGCTGGAATTTATTGTACAACTGCTGTTCATCCAACAGCCATTCATTTAGTTACCAGCTCTGTGCCCAGTCACTTGAGAGAGATACTGGGCATCCAAAGTGAACTATATATGATCTCTGCTTTAAAGGAACATACCATATAAGAAATACATAAGGTAAGATATGCCCATAGCGCCAGTACAAAATAACAAGTGATAGGTTATAAGAAAAGTTGAAAGTTGAAAGAAAAGTGAAGTTGAAAGAAAGAAATTACATCCAAGAGGAAAGAAAGAGAGGATCACACTGTACTATACCACAACCTGATGGTAGAATGAGGCAGCAAAGTGACCTTATAAACGTTAGATAGATTCTTGTAATATTGTAAGTACTAAGTATGTCTAGCTGCATTAATAGGTATTTTGTAAACTGGCCTAGGAGCCTGATTATAATAATATTTTTACTTCTTTTTTCCCCTCTGGGAATGAAAATGAAATCAAAGTTTTAAACAATCGAAGCAAATGAGTTCCTGGAACATAGAAACTGGAGGTTACTTTTAGTTTTATTTGTCCTAAAACATCTCTATTGGCTTCAGTTTTTAAGCCTCAATCTTAGTATTCAGAACAAACCATACTCTTCCTGTCTTTACCCTTATTGTATATGTACTATACAAAACTGTAGCCTAATGCGTTAAGTGGCATTTTGCCCCAAACCCCTATATATATATATCCAGATTTTGATGAGTGAGTTTTAGGAGCTAGTAATCTTTGCTTCAGCATTATATACTTACAGCAGAATATAAAAGCACATTACTCCAGAAAGAATGAACTCTATTTCTGTAGTGTCTTAGCATTATGAAAATTAGCATAGAGAGATAGTCTTAAGCTTTGCCAAGAAATAATACTTACTAGGACAAAGAAAGATACTCACAGATAATTCTTTAGAGAGGCTTAAAGTTATAAGTGTTGGTCATTTTGTCTTATCTTTAGAACAAAATAAAATTGTCTTTTAATTTTAATTTTCAGGTTCTTGAATGTATAAAGCTAAGTGAAGAAACCACTACATCGTCCAGTAGAATTTTTGTTAAAATATTTTTCCAAGAACTGTGTGAATATATGGGTCTTCCTAAACTTAATGCAAGATTAAAGGATGAGTAAGTTTATCATTATGCATGTTTTATTCTTACTGTCCTCAGGAATTTTCCTCCATTGTAGCAACCTAAATCCACACTTGGTTGTAAAAACAAGAGTTAAGCCCCTAGGTCTTTGTTCTTCCATTAGTTACTACTCTGAATCTCATGTTCTGTGGCACAGGACAACATGCGGTTTTTAATGTTGGATTTTAGTTGCAGGAGAGTAAACACAGAATCAGTGCCTCTTTTAATTTAGTTAGAACACACAATTATTTTGCATGTTCACTGGAGTTTTCTAATGAGTATTACAGTTTTCTTTTTTTTTTATGATTTTATTTATTTATTTGACAGACAGAGATCAAAAGTAGGCAGAGAGAGAGGAGGAAGCAGGCTCCCTGCTGAGCAGAGAACCCGATGCGGGGCTCAATCCCAGGATTCTGGGATTATGACCTGAGCCGAGGGCAGAGGCTTTAACCCACTGAGCCACCCCGGCGCCCGTTTATTTTCATTTTTAACCCAAATTTGAACCTTAGAAAATTAATTAATTTTTGTTATCAGTGGTAATTATAAATGTATTTAGATGACTCAGTCATGTAGTTCAAATTATTACACTGAATGAGAATCTTGTTCCAGGACTATCATGTAATCCCTACACCTGCTTTCTTATTTCCAGTTTATTCAGATATTACTGTTGACTTCTACTTCATTCACACTGCTGAATCATCCTTTCAGATTTCTTAGTGACTGCCTGCCAAGTCAAGTACTTTTTCTCAATCCTCCTGCCCCCGGACTTTCCGGCCTTACTAATGCAGTTGGCCACTTGCTCACTGTGGCTCCTCACTTTCTTTTCATTCTGCCTCACTCTTCATGGTCTCTACTCTTCAGCCTACCTCTCCTCTTTGCCACAGTTTCCATTCTGGCTTCAACATGCCCTCTCTGGGCTAGTCCATCGCTCCTCTTGGTTTCATAGACTAACTTACCGGTGCCTGTCTACTTCACCAGGTTTATCTCCTCCCTCTCCATAGACTTCACCAACATTGCTCAGCCTTGTTCATGCTTCCTTACCTCATTTCCAGAGCTAGAAATCCCCTCTTTTGGTCTATCCAGCAAAACTCTTAATTATTTTTCTTGTATGTCACTTTTTTCTGTGTAACAGTTTGTCCTGACCCTGCTGGTTAGTCATTCAGTGTGGCACTCAGAACAACATGTCCAAACCACCTTGTATTGTTCCCATCCCTGGAAATAATGATTGTATGCAGTCTTCATCCATGATTTCGTCCTTTTGTTGACTTTTTTCCCATCCCCCAGTGCTGTGCACAGTGCTGTGTGTGCATGTGTGTGTATATATATACAACAGAGATTTGTTTTTACTTTATTGTATACATTCACGTACTATGTGTATGTGTGTGTGTGTGTGTGTGTGTGATTGTGTATGTTATACAATATGTATGTATGTGTGATGTATAAAAAAGTTTTTAAAAACTTCTGTGGGGCGCCTGGGTGGCTCAGTAAGTTAAGCATCCAACTCTTGGTTTCCACTCAGGTCATGATCTCAGGGTTGTGAGATCAAGCCTGGTGTTGAGCTCCGCACTCCTTGAGGAGTGTGCTTGAGATTCTTTTTCCCTCTCTCCCTCAGGCCCCGCACCCTGTATGCCCGTGTGCCTAAGCTCTCTCTCAAATAAATAAATCTTTTTTAAAAAAACCTCCTCTGTTGTAAGTTTAGTAAATTATGACTTGACCCTACTTATTTCATTTAAATAGCATGTAGCCTAATTTAATAAATTATGTAAATTGCTTACTTAATTGTATTTCATTTACCAATTTAAAAATACATAGAAAATCTGAAAAATGATAATATAAGAAATTTGCCTTTTTATCTTTAAGCAATGTGTTCTCTTTTGTTCATTTTCTTTTCTTGTTTTAGAACCCTACAGCCATTTTTTGAAGGGTTATTACCCCGAGATAATCCAAGAAACACTCGGTTTGCCATCAACTTCTTCACTTCAATAGGTCTTGGAGGTTTAACGTAAGGATAGTTTTCAAAATTTTATTTTCATCTTATAAAATTATCTCACAGGTGCCTTCAAAGCAGAAACTAACAGAGATTATATCTTTAATTAGGGATGAATTGCGTGAGCATCTCAAAAACACACCGAAGGTCATTGTGGCACAGAAACCAGATGTTGAGGCAAATAAATCCCCTTCTTCTTCCTCTTCCTCTTCCGCGTCCTCCTCTTCAGAGTCGGCCTCCTCTGCCTCTGACTCGGACAGCAGTGACAGTAGTTCAGAGTCTTCCAGCGAAGACAGCGGGTCTTCATCCAGCAGTAGTCAGAGCTCTGCCTCAGGTATGGAAACTCACTTCTAATGGATTGGGCTCTTTTCTAACAAGTATATTGCTGGTGATGTTTACAGCAAGGGAAGAAAATAATTTGATTGCTTGATTATTTTAGAGTTCAGTTGTTTAAAAGCCACAATTAATAATATAAATGATCATCTATCACTGCTGGAGCCTGTAGTGAATTGCATCATTTATAATGCTAAGATTACCTATTGGAATCCTCTTCATAGAAATGAAGATATTTCATTGCAAATACTTACTTGAGTGACGACTGAAATGCCATTCATTCATAGTTCCTATAGTCCAGTTTATAGCTTTCCTGGTAGTTCTATTTTTAAAAAAAATTTTTAAAAAAGAGTTTTTTACTGTAGTGAGGTCATGTTAGCTACCGATAAATGCCATGCATTCATTGCACACATCGTAAGTGTAAATGTTCATGAAGAGAACACATCCACATGCTAGCTACCCATAACCAGAGTTACTAGCTACTGCCACTCTTCCTGTCCACTGCCTCAGGGCAGCTACTACTCTCATTTGTAATTCCGTAATTCATTATGCCTGTTTTTAACTTTATAACTGTGTTTTGTAAACTCCTTTGTGTCTGGCTTATCTTTCACAGTTACTTTTGTGAGATTCATCTGTAATACTGCATTTAGTTATAGTTCCTTCAGTCTTATTGCTGTATAGTTTTCCACTGTATGAATATGCTACAGTCTATTTAACATTCCTTTTACTCAGAAGGAATTTAGATATATAAATAGTAGTCCTGTGAATATCCTTATTCATACTCGGTAAATATGTGTATATGTACCTATGTGCATTTCCGTTGGGTTTGTCCTGGGAATCACTGGGTTGTAGGTTGTGTGTATATTTGGCTCTAGCAGTTACTGCCAGCTTTGCAAGTCAGTATTTCAGTTTACACCTCCATCAGCCATGTTTGAGAGTTCCAGTAGCTCCCATCCTCTCAGCACTTTGGTTGGATATCTTCTTCAATTTAACCATTCTGGTAGATATGTAACGGTATTGCATTGTGGTTTTAATTTGCATTTTCTCGATCATTAATGAAGTTGAACACTATTTTATAATGTTATTGGTCATTTGGGTATTTTCCTTTTTGTGAGTGTCTGTTCAAATCTTTTGCTACCCTTCCCCCCTTTTTGTTGTTTTATGAAGTTGTCTCTTCTATAAATTTGTTGTTCTTTAGGTTTTCTGGATATGTATCTTTTGTCACATGTATGTATTGCAAATAGCTAGTTCCATTCCATTCTTGTCTCTCCCAGCCTGTGCAGCTGCCAAAGCTCTGTTGGTCTCTCTGTCCCTCAGCAGTAACCCTGGATCAGCAGATGCTCATAGGGAGAAAGTGGCTGTAGAATGTCAGCTTACTTCTCCATGGTTCCGCCCTCTCCAGAATGCTGGCCCTTAATCAACTTAAAAGAAAGTTGCAAATAGTACAGAAAATTCCCATATAGCCTTCACTCAGCTTTTCCTAGTGTTAGTATTGTATGTAACCAGAGTTCCATTACGGAAGCCAGGAAATTAACATTGTAACAATACATTAAACATATTCTTACTTGAATTTCACCAGTTTTTCCATTAATGTCCTTTTTCTTATTCCAGGATCCTACTTGGATTGAACTGAGTTTCTTCTAGTCCTCTATAACCTATTCCTCTCAGGCTTTTCTTGGCTTTAATGGCTCTGAGACTTTTGAAGTCCTCTGGTCACTTATATTTTAGAATTGGTCCCTCAACTCAGATATCTGTCTGATGTTTTTACATGATTAGAATGAGGTTATGCATTTTTTGGACAGAATACCATAGAAATAATGTATTCTTAATGCATCTTATCTTGGAGTTCATAATATTGATATGTCTTATTGGTGACATTAACTTTGATCACTTGGTTAAAGTGATATCTGCTCAATTTCTTTTGAGCAGAAAAGGACAGAAACTCCTTTTCTCTATAAATGAATGTCTTGTAGGGAGATAATTTGATACTATGCAAATCTTCTCTTTCTCCTCTACCTTTCACTCTTTAATTTTAGCATCCTTCTTTGGATCTTGTCCGCAATACTTAACTACTGTGGTGTTTGCCGAATGTGATTTTTCCATTTGTCTTTTTTCTTCTGCATTTAGTGATTGAATTTCTTCTGCAAGAAAGAATCATCCCTCTTCCCCACCCCCACTTATTTATTAACTTTATATTTTATCAGTGTGGACTCTTGGGTATTTACTGAATTAGTTAAAATCCATTACTATAATTTATTTTGTTGTTCAGGTCATATCAGCTTTGGCAGTTAGGACTCCTTCAAGTTGACCCTCTGTTCTTTCAACATACACCTATCCTGTCCTTTTTTTTTTGAGCACTGCCTTTCTTTATAATATCTCAAGCTGTTCAAGATCTTTTAGTGCCTTTAAGCAGAAGATTTTAAATTTTTATCTGGCGTTTCTAGTTGTTTTCAGCAGGGGCACTGGTCTTCCACAGCTTTTTCCATCCTTCCTAGAAGTAGAAATGCAGTAGTAAAGGATTTTTTTTAAATGTGCCATTTTCTGAGAAGGTCTGTTTTGTTTTCCCCAGGATCAACCCTGTTTTCTTCCATCACAGTCTCTTAGCCTGAATAAGAGATAGTCTTATTGTCCAAAATCATATCATTTCTTACTTTTTAATGCATATTTAGTGGCAGGAAAGAGTAGTTGGGAGGTTGATCTTTACACTCTTGTTCTCTGGCTTATTGCACTTAAAAGAGTGTGTGTGGCAGCCAGAATTGTGGGACTCTCAGTATTTTATATTATTAGAGCAAGATTGCGGTTGCCCACAGGAAGTCTTATTCTTGAATTAAAATACGTTAACATTGTTCATTTAATATTCACCTCTTAATTCTAAAGAATTTGGTATTTCATGATATCTGTTTTGAGAACAGATGATAACACAGCTTGAATTGCTGCAGTAAGGAATCTTGCTGATTCAAAATTAATTTGCCTCATCATACAATTTCAGTAGAGAGTTTTCTGTTTTATTAGTAAAATATTAAGTAGCATAAAAGCAATATGAACTGTCCCAAAATTAGAAAATTGTAAAGCAAACACCCAACAGTGGGTTGGTTGCCTATTATGGTAGGGCTCAGGGTTTTATGTCAGCACTGCCATGAGAGTGGTGAATAGTAGGGACAGAGAGACGTTGATTTAACACACAGCCAGATGGTTTCTGCTTGGGTAGCTACAGCTCAGCTGAGCTGCTTGGTAGGAACCAGAGAAATAAATCCTTAGTGGCAAACCAATGGACTATGCCAAGGATAGGCATTCGGCAGAAGAAATACAGGTTGGTACAGTGAGATTTAGGTGGAGACAGGACGAAGGTAGGCAGTTTTCTACCATATTTTCTTTCTGTATATGTATGAATTTGACAGAACTTTTGGTCTTCTCAGCACCTTTGATTTATGTACCCAAAGTAAATAACACAGATAAACTGATTAAATTTGTTTTATAGCTTAAAATTTCACTGTGATTATTTAATATTTATATTTGTGATTATATCAGTAAGATTGAATTGTTCTCAGCCATTTCAAAAGAGTTTTCTCAGAAATCAAGATAAGGCCTATGATTATGTCTTTTTTTTTTTTTTAAGATTTTATTTATTTATTTGACAGAGAGAGAGATCACAAGTAGGTAGAGAGGCAGGCAGAGAGAGAGGGGGAAGCAAGCTCCCCGCTGAGCAGAGAGCCTGATGTGGGGCTTGATTCCAGGACCCTGAGGCTTAATCCACTGAGCCACCCAGGCGCCCCTATGATTATATGTCTTAACAAGTTTCTCTTCCTGGTGTAGATACTGCTTCTCTGATAGCACTGGAGAGCAGAACTATTGTTTTTGTAGGAAGAGGTTTTTATTTGAAAAATACATATTCATGCTGTTAAAAAACACAGTAAACAAACACAGTAACCCCACTTCCCCACCTTTAGGAGTGATGTTGTTCACATGTGTGCTCACTGTGTTTTTCTTAACATGTCAGATCTGAATAATATTCCCTATGACATAATGCACAGGGCTGGAATTTCTGTTTTTGAATAAAATTTATAAGTGGAAATGTACCTGTTAGTCACTTTATAAAAAATTTTACATTTGCTATAGTCTATTTAAAGTTTCTGTTTATAGCTTTGAGTCTAAGGATCAAAACAGTACTTTGGTGATAAGATACATATTCTTAAAAATTACTCATCTTGTAAAATATCCTGTTGTAAGACTTGCCATTCAATTTAGTTTTGCATCCGGTTTGTCTGAATTAATAAACCTACAGTGGATTAATAAATGTAATTGTTAAATTATTAAATTAAAGATTAAAATAAAAGCTAACGATTTCATTTTACGTATGCAGATAAAGATAGAAGAAAGAAGGGACAAGGAAACACCAGAAGTAAGGAAGTAGATAAATTGATCAGGAAACAACAGACCCATGATAGGAAACAAGAAGAAAGAAGGCCAGAGCAAAGGCATCGGGAAACACGGACTGAAAGAGAAAGAAGGTCAGAAAAACATAAAGATAAAAATTCAAGGGATCCAAATTGGAGAGATCCCATAACAAAGTACACTTCAGACAGAGGTGTTCCTTCGGAACGAAATAGTTACAGTAGAATCATGAATGACAGAGACCAAGAAGCACACACAGATTTGGAAAATAAGTATGGTGATCCTAAAAAGAAGAGAGGAGAGAGAAGAAACTCTTTTTCTGAAAATGAGCACAGACACCGAAATAAAGACTATGAAAATGTTACAAGAAAAGATAGATCAAAGTCAAGAGAAAAGAATAGAAAACATTCAGGTTCTAGAAGTGATGAAGATAGGTATCAGAATGGTGCCGAAAGGCGATGGGAAAAATCTAGTAGATACTCTAAACAATCCAGAGAATCAAACAAACATCAGGACTGGCGAAGAGAAAAGTCTCCAACAAAGCAAAAAAAATAGTTCTACAAAATTACAGAAACTGAACATGCCTTATATTCAGTTGAAACAAATTATTTTTTATATTAACGAACTTTATAAGAATTCTTGTATAAAGTACTGGTTTGTATTTGTACATTTAAAAATTTTTTCATTTTAACATGTTTTATAATTGGTACATCTCAAGGCCCTCCACATAAAATTATTTGAGAAGTTTCACCAGAGAGGGATGTAATTCTTGCTTATATTTTGTTAATAAAATGATCAAATGCTCATTGAATCAGTGATTTTTTTCATTGACAAAATTTTTTTTCCTGATAATGTTTCCAGTTGTTTATAGAATTATTATAATGAATTATCAGTGGCTTTTTTTTTTTTAATAACTAGAGACCAAAATAGATGAACCATTTCAATGTAATATTTTTGCTTTGTCAATGAGATGCTATGAACCTTTTTAGGAGTCACCATTTTTTTTTAATAGGAATTATTTCAAGTTTTATATTACATCTTGAACAAAGTAGATATGTATAATTTTTTTAACAAGTGTTTTGATGAAGCTAAGGGTATATTAGTCTTTTAAACAGATGCATAGCTATATTATTTAGAATTAGGACTTATCTCATCAATAACATTTCTTCTCTTTGGACTGCTAGATTAATATTTAATTGAAATTCTTTGTGATTAGTGCTTTTTCTCAGCCTTGAAGTTATATCATTGTTGGTAAGGTAATGTGTATTTAACTTTTAATTTAGGTTAATAGGTCATTGGAAAACGTATAGTCATGAGAAATGTGAACAGCCTAACTGTGAAATAATTCCAATTTTTTTAAGAATTTTGAAGGTTTCCATCATTGTAACTCTCACCAGTTAACATGTGACCATATTATTTATTACTTTTGAAATAAAATATTGCCTCTGAAATTTTAGATTTGCTGACATTTAACCTACTTACCAAATAGACTGTTTGTGCTTATTCACTTTTAAAGTACATAAAGTCCATTTTAGCTGATGTCTGGTTTCAAGAATAATGGGACCACCATCTTCAATGTTTGACTTTCAGGCATTCTCTGATTCAAAATGTTTTTTATTTTTGTTCAAAAACTTGAGTATAAATAACAATAAAGTCCATATAAATAAATATTATCCTCTCCTCCTATCCTCCTGCCCCTGCAAGAGGGGGGAAAAAAAAAAAAAGAAGAGCATTAATTGAATATGACAGCCTGAAAAAATTCTTCTTAGTGTTTTCTTCTACTGTGGTGGTTAGAAGATTCTGAGTTGTCATTAGAAGGTACTGTCATGGACACAGTGCATTTCACAAAACTATGAAGCTTAGCAAATCGGATTTATTTACACGTAGGCTATGAGCCCTAAAGGAAAATAAATGAGAGTTTATTTTTGTAACCGAACACTGGTCTTTGGGGGTGGTAAAAAGGAAGAAAACTGGAATAGAAGTTTTAGCTTATTTTCTTCACTTTAAGTTTATAATTTCTAAATGTAGAAATGGGAAATGGTTTGATTTATTAAGTTGTTAAGACCTTAAAGATTTGTTAGAATAGATAATTTTTTAAATGTAACAAATACTGAGCTTCTATTATGTACACAGACATATTCTAGGAATATAAATAAACCATGAAGAAAACAAGAGTTTCAACTCTTAACAGGGCTGATACTATGGTAGGGAGATGTGGTGGTCATGATACTGGGGGGTTTGGGGTGGTTGGTAATTTTCCATAAGAAGGTCAGAGATCTCTGATAAGGTGATGTTTGCCCAGATTGTTGAAGGAAGTAAGACCTTAAACCCTGTGGACTACTGTGGGGAGAACCCAGGCAGAAGGGATTGCTGAAGTATAGATGTTTATTTATAACAAATATTGCCTGGGAATTTATGTTAACGTTTACTATCCAACTAGTTGGATTTTTCTTCTCCTCACTATCTTATTTATTTTTAACAAAAGCAGTTAACACCTAACTCCCTTCAAGCAGAAAAATATCTGAGTATAACTGAGTCATATCAGGGCACAGTCAATAGGGGCCTTTTTTTTTTTGCCTTCAGGGTGCGTTTCTAGCACATCAAATGTGATAGGCTCAGATGCCCCGCCCTGCCATTTGGGCAGGTTTTTCCACTTTCATCCTTTTAAAATGCAGACAAGAAACATGTTGACTATGTCTGCTGTTTCTGAATTTTTACTTCTTAGGATTAGCGTTTTTTGAGGATCAGCTGAATCCTGTGTATTTTGCATGCCATTACTCACTGTTTGTCAGTTTCTCAACTTCTCGGCGTCCAAGGTTTCTCTATCCCTACTGTATCCCCAGCCACCTGCGCCCATGGTCATTCACCTTATGTTGACTTCAAAATCCACACCATCTCGGAAAGCTCTTCTTCAAGCATCGTACTTTAACCACTGCCCATCCCACTCACTCTCTAGTAGTGCTAGTCTAGGAATCCGATCATTTCATCAAAACTTCAGATGTACTGACTTTGTTAAAATTTATCATCCCCCCCCCCCGATTCTTTCACTTGCTTTTAGGAAAAGACTCAGGTTCATATTGAGTAATTTATTACCATTTCATTTGAAAACTATTTGGCTAACTGCACATGTAAATCTTACTAGGTTTTTATCTAATCTATACCACTTGCTGGCTGTTGCCTTGGGCAGGTCCTTTACCCTTGGTGTCTCCATTTGTGTCCATTTCCTCCTGTGGACAGTGGTAGAATGGTAACTCAAATAGTGAATGGTCTCTGTGGCATGAACAGGGCCTGGAGCTAAATGCTCAGTGTTAAGGTCTTTTTTTTGGGTTTTTTGTTGTTGTTGTTGTTGTTGTTGTTTTTTGTTAATAAATGCTGACATAGTACCAGTAGACCAGGAATTGCAAACTCGAATACAGGGGATAACACAAATAAGATAAATCAGCTTGGGGAATGAACTGGAGTGACAGAAAGGCAGCAGTAGTTACTCAGCGTCATCCAGTTGTGCCTATAAAAAAGACCAAAGATTGACAAAGCTGCCTGATTCTCAAGAGAATTGAAGAAGTAGGATTTTTATATGACTCCTGATTTTTAAATGTTGACAGTGATTTTTTTTTTTTTAAGATCAAAACGGCCCGAAGTTGTTAAAAGTCCAAACAAAATGATCCCTTCAGGTGAATTGCCTTTTGAATAGCTAGTTTGTGATTCCACTGTAGTTCCTCAAAAGCTATTTATTATTTTGTCTTGAAATGACAGCTTTCGTTATACAAACCTCATCACTGTTTCATTTTCTGCTCTTCATTAGAGTGGGAGGATAAGTCCTATCATCTTTCTTAAGAAAACTCATTTACTTCGCTAACCTCAGCAGCCCCTCTTGCTCTAAAACTTTTGCCAAGTTTTAGTTCTGTATTTCATTGGCCTACTCCTTAAAATTTCGTATATCCAAAATACAATTCATTTTTCCTCAGATCCTCAGCCTTTCTAACTGCCGCTGATTCCACTAATCTCCCATCACTTTTGAGTTCCCCTTTCCCCAAACCACCAAACTGCAACAGTATCGTTTTAAAAGATCTATTATTTATGTTAGAGAGGGAAAAAGGGAGGAAAGGGCAGAGGCAGAAGGAGAGAATCTTCAAGCAGACTCCCTGCTGAATGTGGGAACCCACTGTGGGCTGGCTCTCCTCTCAGGATCTGCGAGATCACAACCTGAGCCAAAACCAAGAGTCTGATGCTTAACCAACTGAGCTAACCAGACACCCCTGGATTTGGACAGTAGTTTATGCATCATCCTCCTGTGTACCAAGTACTGCTCCAATGAGAGAGCAAAAAGCAAACAGGCCCTGTCTTTTTTTTTTTTTTTAAGATTTTATTTGTTTATTTGACAGAGAGAGAGAGATCACAAGTAGGCAGAGAGGCTGGCAGAGAGAGAGAGAGATCACAAGTAGGCAGAGAGGCAGGCAGAGAGAGAGGAAGGGAAGCAGGCTCCCTGCTGAGCAGAGAGTCTGATGTGGGGCTCGATCCTAGGACTCTGGGATCATGACCTGAGCTGAAGGCAGAGGCTTTAACCCACTGAGCCACCCAGGTGCCCCCAGGCCCTGTCTTCAATTGACCCTAAATCCTCGCAAGGGAAAACAAAGCTTAAAAAATAAAAACTTGGGGCACCTGGGTGGCTCAGTGGGTTTAAGCCTCTGCCTTCGGCTCAGGTCATGATTCCAGATCCTGGGATCCAGCCTCGAATTGGGCTTCTGCTCAGCAGGGAGCCTACTTCCCTTTTTCCTCTCTCTACCTGCCTCTGCTTGTGATCTCTGTCTGTCAAATAAATAAATAAAATCTTAAGTAAATAAATAAATAAATAAAAACTTAACACTTTGAAAAATGTTAGCTATTCAGAAAAACCAAAAGAATAGTGCAGTGACCACCTATAAACTACCTCGATTCTGATTTCAATAATCTAAATCCTTATTTCCATTCTGTTACTTTCTTCTACACGGAAGTTCAATGACTCCTCCAGCTTACAGGATAAATATAAATTCCCAGCCTGTTATTCTAGTTTCTTTAGTTCAAGTGTTGTAGATAAACAATGAATCTTGGAACACGGCATCAAAAACTAATAATGTATTTTATGGTGACTAACGTAACAATAAAAAAAAAATTTTTTAAAGTTCAAGTTCAACCTGTCTTAATGATTGTTCTAGGAGCTGCCATCCTTTGATCACTACTACATTGTAGAATGTTTAGCGGCATCCCTGACCTTAACTGGTAGATACTAGTAGCACCAGGTTCCCAGTCCTGACAAGGTCAATCCATTGTCTCCTGACATTGCCAACTATGCCCTCCAAGGCAAAGTATCCCTAGTTGACCACGGTAACCATAGACCTAGCACTTAGGAAATACTCTTCAGTGGATCACAATGATAGTGTTTGTTCTGGACGAACCACTGTGCCTATTCATATAAAGCTAAGTCTATTATACTGCCCTCTTCTTTTTGCAAGGGCAAGATTTGTTTTAAGAGACTATTTAATATTCACTTAATTGAGTAGTGGACAGTAATATTCCAATTGTTTTTGTTTAGCAAAATTTTCTGATATTCTAGAGAAGACATTCTAGTTGACATTTTAAGAGGTAGGTTTTCTGCAAACAGTAGCATGATTATTAGCCTGTTAATATGATTGTCTCCTATAGGTTCTGGTTTCTCACTGTAGCTACTTATAACCAACACATTTCAGAGATGGAAAACAATGAGCTGTGACTATTTTATTATTTTTAATCCTACAATAGAGAATTAGATTATCCAGTATCCAAACGCCTTAATTTTTGATCAAACACTTCAGT